TCATATAAATCTCTAAATTTCAAGTTTAAAGTGTCATAAAGCTTTATTTTAAACTCTAAACTTTGTTATGATCGTAGGTGGGCTTTATCAAGCTGGTAAAATAATTACATTTATATTTGTTTTATATTTATATTGCTCTTGAAAGATGGTTTAGTGATGTAAGGATGATCATTCAGCACAGGGGTGGGCAACTGGCGGCCCGGGGGCCACATGCGGCCCTCGTCAACCCACAATGTGTCCTTTGGAGGTGGAGCAGCCGAAGAAAGTTGGCGCCAAGAAGCAGAAGAAGCTGGAGGAGAAACAGGCCAAGAAAGCCCAGAGAGAGGTGAGAACTCAGGCTGCCAATGACCACCATTATTTATCACCTACTGATCTGTCTGCTAATGTGTTGTTGTTGTTTTCTCATTTCAGGCAGAGATGGAGGAGAGGGAGGAGAGGAAGAGGATGCAGGAGCTCAGAGAGCAGGAGAGGCAGCAGGAGGATGAGAGAGAACGACTGATGGAGCAGAAACAGGTCACTAATACACACACACACAAACTTCAGCAGTGGCTTCCTCCCTAATCTTTAAACGAGGACGAGCTCAGACTCTGTGCTGGTGTTTATTCAGGAGGAGGAAGAGCGTCATGCTGCAGAGGAGCAGGAGAGACGTGAGGAGGAGGAGTACTTAAAACTGAAAGCGTCCTTCGTCGTAGAGGAGCAGGGAGAGGAGGAGCAGCTCACCGAGGACCAGGTCCCATCTCTGCTCAAATCTCAGGCTTTACTCTAACTGATGAGAAAATCTGTAATAATCAGCGTTTGTGTTGTTTTCCTCTGCAGTCACGTAACCTGCTGCAGGAGTTCATCCAGCACATCGAGGTGAGCGCTGATTAGCACACACACACACACACACACACACACACACACACAGCTTCATCCTGCTCTGTCCCGTCTGATGAGTTGAGTCTCCTCTCTGTCCTGCAGAGCTCCAAGGTGGTTCTCCTCGAGGATTTGGCGTCTCACTTCGGGATGAGGACTCAGGATGCCATCAACAGACTGCAGGACCTGTTGGCTGAAGGATCCCTCACAGGTCTGAGATCTGTGTTTAAACATTTTTACTGTCAATATTTTATATTTACAATCCACTTCTACATTTATGTGACACTCTTGTGCGTTCTGCAGGAGTGATTGACGACAGAGGGAAGTTTATCTCCATCACCCCGGAGGAGCTGGACTCGGTGGCTCGTTTCATCAGACAGAGAGGACACGTGTCCATCACGGAGCTCGCGCAGGCCAGCAACTCTCTGATCAACCTGCAGCCGGAGAGCCGCAGCAGCGCCTAGAGGACGGAGGAGACATGACATCCCGATAGACTCTTCACCTCTGCTGCACATCTGGACGACTCCAACCTGTGTGAAGATTTAAACTGGACTCTCTGTCTGCTGTTAGCTGGTGTTTGCTATCAGCAGAGGATCTGACAGAAGTATAATAAATAAATATGGAAATAAATAAATGTGGAAATAAATAAATGTAGAAATAAATACATGTGGAAATAAATACATGTGGAAATAAATAAATGTAGAAATAAATACATGTGGAAATAAATACATGTGGAAATAAATACATGTATAAATAAACAAATACATGTATAAATAAATACATGTGGAAATAAATAAATGTAGAAATAAATAAATGTGGAAATAAATACATGTGGAAATAAATAAATGTGGAAATAAATACATGTGGAAATAAATACATGTAGAAATAAAATAATAAATAAATTTAAGACATTTAATTATTTCTGTCCCATTTATTTACCAATTTTTATTCATTTATTCACGCATTTAATTATTTATTTATTCCAGTATTTATTTATACCTTTGTCAGATCTCGTCCTCCATAATAACCAGGGTTTATTGGTTTAATGGTAATGTTGTGGCGGTGTACCCTCCGAAACAGCAGGTGGCGCTAAACACAAGCGAACAATAAACACACGAAGAAGAGAGACCTGTGTTGGACCCATAGGTTGGACATGAGCGAACACTGACGTGTCCATCAGGTTCCTTGTTTAAAGTGATATTTTCAGGACAGCCATGGACGTCGCGCTGTATCTGATCGCTGCTGCGGTTCTCATCGTCCTCATCGGGTTCGCTGTGAAGATCCGGAGCAGAACACAGGAAGGTAAACACGTCATCAGGAGCTAATGCTAGGCTAACGGCCTACTGTAAGCAGAGCGTTATATCAGGATGTTGATGCTTTAAAATTAACTTAAGATTTTACTTTTGGAAAGAAAGTGTTTCAGTATTGTTATAAAAGCTTAACTGGATGAGTTTAAATGTTTGAGTTACGCGGATTTTAGGGAAATGTTGGGAAACAGCTGGTAATCAGTTATAACTACGGAAGCGGTCGAGGGACATTTCGCGTTAAAGCGAAAATACTGAAACGCAACTTCATATAAATCTCTAAATTTCAAGTTTAAAGTGTCATAAAGCTTTATTTTAAACTCTAAACTTTGTTATGATCGTAGGTGGGCTTTATCAAGCTGGTAAAATAATTACATTTATATTTGTTTTATATTTATATTGCTCTTGAAAGATGGTTTAGTGATGTAAGGATGATCATTCAGCACAGGGGTGGGCAACTGGCGGCCCGGGGGCCACATGCGGCCCTCGTCAACCCTCAATGTGGCCCTTATATATCAAAACATGAAGAAAACATGACAAAATCTGCCATGAAATCATGAAAACCAGAAATATGTCCATAATAATGTTTGATCACTTGTATATGTTGAGTTAAATTTGAGACATATTTGACTGTTATCGTTTTTTGGATCCTACAATTTGGCCCCCTGGCAGTGAGAGTTAAATGAATGTGGCCCCTAGATGTTGCCAGTCCCTGATTTAGCAAAACAAAATAAAGAGCATTAATAGAAGTCTGTTTTGTAACCAACCAAAAGCTCCTCACAGTGGCTGTTGAGTTTCTTATTTAATCGTTTCTGATTACAAAGGTAATGGTAAAGACATTAGACAGTGTTGTGATTTGTTGTGTTCCCTGTTATCTCTCAGCCGATGAGGAGCAGCAGAGAGATGTTATCCGGGCGGCGGGGCCTCCTCAGCGGGCGGCGGAGGAGCGAGGAGCCGGGATGCCGCGCAGGAGGAGAAACCTCGCTGCAGTCATGGCGAACAGACGACCGCAGGGAGACGCTGTAGAGCAGGGTAAGAGGAAGTCGACGCTTTAGGTCGATTCATCGACATGCTGAACAGTCTTGTGTGTGACGGCGGTCAGGGGTCACAGACGTGTTGTTTATTGCAGTGGAGGAGCATGATGAAGAGGAGGAGGAGGAGGAGCGTGATGAAGAGGTGGAGCAGCTGAAGAAAGTGGGCGCCAAGAAGCAGAAGAAGCTGGAGGAGAAACAGGCCAAGAAAGCCCAGAGAGAGGTGAGAACTCAGGCTGCCAATGACCACCATTATTTATCACCTACTGATCTGTCTGCTAATGTGTTGTTGTTGTTTTCTCATTTCAGGCAGAGATGGAGGAGAGGGAGGAGAGGAAGAAGATGCAGGAGCTCAGAGAGCAGGAGAGGCAGCAGGAGGATGAGAGAGAACGACTGATGGAGCGGAAACAGGTCACTAATACACACACACACAAACTTCAGCAGTGGCTTCCTCCCTAATCTTTAAACGAGGACGAGCTCAGACTCTGTGCTTGTGTTTATTCAGGAGGAGGAAGAGCGTCATGCTGCAGAGGAGCAGGAGAAACGTGAGGAGGAGGAGTACTTAAAACTGAAAGCGTCCTTCGTCGTAGAGGAGCAGGGAGAGGAGGAGCAGCTCACCGAGGACCAGGTCCCATCTCTGCTCAAATCTCAGGCTTTACTCTAACTGATGAGAAAATCTGTAATAATCAGCGTTTGTGTTGTTTTCCTCTGCAGTCACGTAACCTGCTGCAGGAGTTCATCCAGCACATCGAGGTGAGCGCTGATTAGCACACACACACACACACACACACACACACACACACACACACACACACACACACACACACACACACACACACACACACACACACACACACACACACAGCTTCATCCTGCTCTGTCCCGTCTGATGAGTTGAGTCTCCTCTCTGTCCTGCAGAGCTCCAAGGTGGTTCTCCTCGAGGATTTGGCGTCTCACTTCGGGATGAGGACTCAGGACGCCATCAACAGACTGCAGGACCTGTTGGCTGAAGGATCCCTCACAGGTCTGAGATCTGTGTTTAAACATTTTTACTGTCAATATTTGATATTTACAATCCACTTCTACATTTATGTGACACTCTTGTGCGTTCTGCAGGAGTGATTGACGACAGAGGGAAGTTTATCTCCATCACCCCGGAGGAGCTGGACTCGGTGGCTCGTTTCATCAGACAGAGAGGACGCGTGTCCATCACGGAGCTCGCTCAGGCCAGCAACTCTCTGATCAACCTGCAGCCGGAGAGCCGCAGCAGCGCCTAGAGGACGGAGGAGACATGACATCCCGATAGACTCTTCACCTCTGCTGCACATCTGGACGACTCCAACCTGTGTGAAGATTTAAACTGGACTCTCTGTCTGCTGTTAGCTGGTGTTTGCTATCAGCAGAGGATTCTTTTTTTTAAAGACTATGTGCTATTTATTCAGACTCCATTCTTGATTGATCTGCAGCACCTTAATGTCTTTACTGAAAACACCAAACCCATCAACACAACTAGCAGCAGCTTCGCTCTCCTGTGGGGAGAAAATAAATGAACTTCTGTGAACTGACACGAGTCTTTCTTTTTGTCGCATCTTTTCAATACCAAGTGCTCTAAAACAAAACAATCCGTTGTTTTTATGCTCGGAGGTATCGATTGAGGTTTGCATCAGCAGACCTGAGAGTGTGGGGGGGAGGAGGAAGTGACCAGAGGCAGAGCACAACGTCGACAGCTGTTCTTGAGAGTTATAAGCGGCATCAAAACCGCCATAAATATTATCATCAGCAGCAGAATAAGTAGAGACATAATCCATAATGTCAATTTTAATTAAGTTTATTAGAGAATTGAGCGTCAGGAGTCTTTACACCTTGTTTCTGTGTTTTCATCGAGTCTTGAGAAAAGTCTGTTTTTGAGGTGAGAGGTGGATTTCAGCTGGACGCGTCGTGCTCTTCATCGTCTCTCTGTTTCCCCGTCGTGATCTCCCACGTTGATGTTGCTCCTCGGTCCTGAAACACAGAAAACGTTCCTCTTGTAAATTCAGATTTGAAGTCAAAGTGTTTTTTTTTTAATCGCAGCGTACCTTTATTAGCACGCCGAGGGGAGCCAGGTCGTTTCTGAGGGTGTCGCAGGATTTGAGGAGGGGGATTCTATCCGGGTAAAGTCCTGGTTTTTTGGAGGATCCGACGGTCGGAGCGTCCTGACGCGTGAGGGCGAACGCTCGGACTTCACTCCTGAATCGAGTCAGCTGCTCCACGACGGCCTCCAGACTCCCGCCGCCGCCGCTCTCCGAGTCCGACTCCTGCACGTGAAGGCATCAGAGGGAGCATTTTAGAATCTGAAAACCCTCCTCACGTCTGTTTTTTTACTTCTCTCTCTCCAGAGTTCTGACCTTCCTGTGCTGCAGGTCGATCCCAAACACGTCCAGGAGATCTCGGATGTAGCTGATCATGGCGGCAAAACCGCAGGACTCCGAACGACTCCATCAGACTGAACGGAGAAACGAAACAGACGCACAGGCGGATACGATCATTAACGGGGAACTGCAGGATGTTAAAACTGAATTTTTCTACCGCTTGAGTTCGACACAATGACTCACCTTTGAAACCGGCTGCAGTTGGCGGTTCCCGTGATACACCAGATTCATCACGGCGCTGACGGCTCTCGGCGTGTCGAAGTCGTCCGCCAGAGATTTCAGCACGCTGGATTTAGTCTCAGCCAACCTGACAAAAAAAAAAAAATCTAATCAACGGAAAACGTCACAAGATGATGAAATCTTTTAACGGATGGATCAAACAGGAAGTACCTTTCCCACAGGGAGGCTTCCTGTACAGGTGAACACTGCAGCTGACCCTTCATGTAGGCCTGGGCGCCGTGGATGAACGTCGTGATGGTTTCCAGAGAGCTGCGAGCCTCCGACATGCTGCTGTCGCTGTAGTCGATGGCTGCAGAGACACCACAGAGAATCAGTAATACTCTCTTCTTTTCTTCTTCTTCTGATGCAAAACAAGATGTGCTTCAAAATGACGTCTCCAACCTGATCTGTATCTAGTCAGAAGACAAAGCATCCGGAACTCGTTGGCCGAGTACGACTGCAGGAAATCCTGACACGAGACAAAAGAGGCAGAGGTTCAGATAGTTCTGATTGAATCTCTGTTGTTTAATCATCGATAGAAGCAAAAAGACCCTTCATGTTTTGGTCCAAAAGCTTCAGCGAGAGAACAAAAACTGATTCAAAGTGCCATTTATTTAGAACGCTGTCTGAATTTCACAAATATGTCAATGTTGCTAATGTCTGTGTGAAATTCTGACAGTGTGCAGGAGATTGTTTGCAATTTGTATTCATTGAAAAGAAGCAATGACCCATTATTTGGTGTTTTTGTAATCAGAACATGTTTGGATATTGTTTGATTTTTACCAAGAAGTTTAAGTCTCTTGGCACCTGGACCAGTAAATACTGTAAATATTGTTCATACTGTAACTATCTTATATCCATCAATGCTGCTCTATAATACCAGTCTTATCTGTATCCTCTGCACCAGCTTACCGTATTACCTTACTACCATATTGCACTTTATGCCTATTCATGTTTGTACTGCACCTTTGTTGCTCTTTTGCACTTTTTTGGTTAGAACGCTAAATACATTTCGTTGTCTCTGTACTTGTACTCTGCACAATGACAATAAAGTTGAATCTAATCTAAAAAGATGTGGTAACAGGACATCCAATCAGAGGCAGGGTGATGATTTCACAGACTTCAGTAAGAAATATTCTACATTAATTCTACAGAAAAGAGTGACTCAGTACTTGATGATGTCTTTACCTTGATGGTGACGTAGTTCTTTAAAGACTTAGACATTTTCTCTGCGCTGCCTTTCAGGTGTAAATGACCTGAAAACAAAAACAACAGAAGATCAGGCGCTAAGGTTTTAAAATGTTTTACAGCGAGAAAAAGAACTGTGGGAAGTCCGGCAATCACAGAGTTGTCATCATGATTCATCAGAAGTTTAGAAGCTGGATTTTGTGTTTTCTTTACCCGAGTGGAGGAAGTAGTTTGCCCACTGTTCACACTGATGATAGGCTTCGCTCTGAGCTACCTCGTTCTCGTGGTGAGGGAACGCCAGGTCGATGCCTCCGGAGTGGACGTCCAGCTGACTCCCAAACACTGAGCTGAAAACAGTGAGCAGACGACGAGACAGATGCTGGTGTTTGTTTTGCAGACATATCAGGAGAAGAGAGTTTTTATGACATGTTTTTATGGATGAAATGTCCAGCACTGAGGAACCTGCATCCATAGAAACACAGACTAACAGGTTTGTTGTGAATCCAAACCTGGCGATGGTCGAGCACTCGATGTGCCAGCCCGGTCGACCTCTGCCCCACGGAGATTCCCAGAACGGCTCCTGAGGTTTGGACGGCTTCCAAAGAGCGAAATCCCTCGAGTCTCGTTTGTTTGCGCTGCCTGGAGAAGCGTCTCTTTAGAGTTATATCAACAAGTAAAATGATATTTTACAGTGAGGTTGTCAACACATTTGAGACTTACAGACTTTTAGACACGTGTTTTAAAACAGTACGATCTCTGTTATTCTAACAGTCGATAGAATCACAAAGTGCAGAAGCTTTAAAAAGACAAGACAGACTCTCAGTCACAGTTTGAACCCGAAGCTGTCACAAGAGAAAAAGAGCAATCAACCTCCTGCGCGCTGAATAAACTGCACAAAAAGGCGGACACAAAAATGTGTGCAATGACGACATTGTGCAGGAGGTTGCTTGCAACTTTCAGCCGCGCATTCAGACTCACAGCGACATTTCTCAAGTCTTTTGACGATGCAAAAGTTACACTCCCATCTCTCACAGCGCTGCGTACAGGTCGCTTATTCATGACAAAGTTGAACAATCCCTTAACGAGTCATGAGACAGGTGGGCCGGCGAACTCCTGCACGCTCTCTGGATTGAACAAATGTGTTGTTGATGATTTGGAACAGAAAAGCTGCAAATGTATTTGTGCAATTTAGACGTGCAGGAGTTTGCTTTCAGTTTTTGGAGGTTAAAAACAAGAAATTATTTGATATCAGGTGTCTGGGACTTGTGTATTTTTTGGCTGTGGTATCAAACATCGATGGTATTGTTTGATTTGTACAAGAATTACATTAAAGGTAAAGATTCTGGTTTTGTGTTAACCCTCCGTTGAAGTCTGGTTTTAGACGTTTTATCTACTTTACACTCACCAGCTTCTCCCTGAGACTCCACAGCTCCCACAAACTTTCCATAGCGATCGCCGATGGACCGGATGTCAAAAAACACATCCCTGCAGCGGAACAGAAACGTTAAGCCCTCCCCCCGACGCAGGAAACAGGAATCAGGACGTCTCAAGTCTCAAATCTCAAATACTCGCCTTCTTTTGTGGTGTACGCATGTCCGTTTTGGATGATCCGCTGAATAAAGGCAACGATGTGGTGCACGTTCTCGGTGACTCTCAGGTACACTGCAGGAGGAATCACCTCCAAGACGACGACACAAAGACGTGATTATCTGATATTCGGTGACCAGGAGGACTTCTGATTGGGTCATTACTCACCTTTAACGACAGCATGTCCTTCTTGAATTCCTCCTCAAACATTGAGGAAATGACAGCTGGGGAAACGTTCTCCTATAAAACGAGGGAAAGGAAAAGTCTCACCAAACATCCTTTAAGCAAAACAAGAAGCGCGTCCCCCCCCCCCCCCCCCCTCACTCACCTCCCAGCTTCTCTTGATGATTTTGTCGTCGATGTCTGTGATGACCATGGCGTGGAGGACGGTGATTCCAAACAACCTGGACAGGATCCTCTGCAGGACGTCGAACCTGACGTAAGAGCTGAGACGCAAACAAACACGTTTTTAAGATCTCTGATTCTCTGATTCCGAGGTCGTTATGATGCAACACTCCTCACTGAGCGAGGTTACCATGCATGGCCCAGGTGGGCGTGGTCGTATACGGTTGGTCCACAGCTGTACCTGAGAGACGACACATGGGGAAAAAGAGACTGACATTATTATACAGGTATGACTCTCTGCTGTATATTACAGGTGTTACAGGTATGACTCTCTGCTGTATATTACAGGTGTATTACAGGTGTTACAGGTATGAATCCCTGCTGTATATTACAGGTGTTACAGGTATGACTCTCTGCTTTATATTACAGGTGTTACAGGTATGACTCTCTACTGTATATTACAGGTGTATTACAGGTGTTGCATGTATGAATCTCTGCTGTACATTACAGGTGTATTACAGGTGTTACAGGCATGACTCTCTGCTGTATATTACAGGTGTTACAGGTATGACTCTGCTTTATATTACAGGTGTATTACAGGTGTTGCATGTATACATCCCTGCTGTATATTACAGGTGTTACAGGTATGACTCTCTACTGTGTATTACAGGTGTTACAGGTATGACTCTCTACTGTATATTACAGGTGTTACAGGTATGACTCTCTGCTGTATATTACAGGTGTTACAGGTATGACTCTCTACTGTGTATTACAGGTGTTACAGGTATGACTCTCTACTGTGTATTACAGGTGTTACAGGTATGACTCTCTACTGTGTATTACAGGTGTTACATGTATGAATCTCTGCTGTATATTACAGGTGTATTACAGGTGTTACAGGTATGACTCTCTACTGTGTATTACAGGTGTTACATGTATGAATCTCTGCTGTATATTACAGGTGTATTACAGGTGTTACAGGTATGAATCTCTACTGTATATTACAGGTGTTACAGGTATGAATCTCTGCTGCATATTACAGGTGTATTACAGGTGTTACAGGTATGAATCTCTACTGTATATTACAGGTGTTACAGGTATGAATCTCTGCTGTATATTACAGGTGTATTACAGGTGTTACAGGTATGAATCTCTACTGTATATTACAGGTGTTACAGGTATGAATCTCTGCTGTATATTACAGGTGTATTACAGGTGTTACAGGTATGAATCTCTGCTGTATATTACAGGTGTTACAGGTATGAATCTCTCCTGTATATTACAGGTGTTACATATATGAATCTCTGCTGTATATTACAGGTGTATTACAGGTGTTACAGGCATGACTCTCTGCTGTATATCACAGGTGTACTACAGGTGTTACAGGTATGAATCTCTGCTGTATATTACAGGTGTTACAGGTATGAATCTCTGCTGTATATCACAGGTGTATTACAGGTGTTACAGGTATGAATCTCTGCTGTATATCACAGGTGTACTACAGGTGTCATACCAGGTGGCGACTCCCTCCCGGGCCAGGATGAGAGGCTCCTTCTGTTTGGTCAGGCTGTTGTAGGTCTTCAAACCCGAGTCGAACCCTGCAGGTGTGATCCACTTCCTACCTGACCCACCGACACAGGAGGAGGAGCCGTGCTGTCTGGATGTGACCCACAGAGCTGCGCGGAGGACCTTTGATCTCCATAGCAACGACCTCACCGAGTAACTCCACATGGTGACCCGTTAGCTTCTCGACTGTCTGACCATTAGAAGATGTAAAAACAGCGTCCTGTAGTTCATCTTATCATGTGTTTCATGTCCTCTTCTTCTTCTGGTGTTATTCTTCTTCGTCTTTAACGTTTAAGGCGGTTTGTGAACAGCGCTGCGGTGCATTACCGCCACCAACCGGTGAAACAATTTCGGATCACTTCGACAATCATCGCCTATCATCGTAAAAAGACAAGACATTAATAAATTATCTTATATATTTTAATATGAATATGTAGTAATTCATATTTTAGAATCACTTATTATAATATGTATTTTGTATTTAATTTCTACTTACAAAAAAAACCATACAAATCACGTTACTTCCTCTTCTATCGCGAGAGTGTGATACCGGAAGTGTTGAGTCGTATCATGTGATTACCTCTTGCTGTGACTGTGCCGGAGGAGCTATGTGGGAATAGTTGTTGTTTTTGACAGCAGAAGAAGCTCCCGTTGTTGTCCCGGAGGTCGGTAACACGATGCAGAACGTGATAAACTCGGTGAAGGGCACCGCGCTCGGAGTGGCGGAGTTTCTCACACCTGTGTTAAAGGTAAACTCACAGCAGCTAGCTCGTTGAGAGGTGGTGGTGGCTAAACAGCTCTGAGATTTCTTAAACAGATGATCAGATCTGTCATGCAGCTCACTGAACCACGAGAAACGGCTTTTCTTAAATATTTATGATCCAAATCACCGATTATAAACAAGCTAATGCATTTATACAGGTGTTATTTACATCATCATGTTAATGCTCCACCTTATTTTATTTTTTATTTATTTAATTTTTAAAAATGTCTTCTACATTTTTTTTAATTAATTTTTTAAATTTTTAATATATTTTTAATATTGTTTATTTATATATTATTTATTATATAATATTGTTTTTATTTTTTATTTTTTAAATCTTTATTTTGTATATTTTTATTTATATTTTTTATATGTTTTTATTTTTATTTTTTTTATTATTTAATTTATTATTATTATTATTATTTGATTTATTTTTTATTTGATTTGATTTGATTTGATTTGATTTATTCATTTTTATTTTTTTATTAGGTGCATTAAAGTGACAAACTGGTGTTATACAAATGACGCACAAAAAAATCCAAACAGACAAAGTCAGGACAACGACTCCAAAATACAGTAAATAATAAAATAAAACAAATAAAGACAGCAAAATACTAAGACATCAATAGACACACATCATACTACGAACAGAAAAACTACAAAACTATATGAAATACCTAAGAAAGGATACAAGAAGTGATAGAGAGAAAGAGAGGGAGAGAAGGTGCTTAGTAAAGGGGACTTGAGAGGTAGAAGAGAGTTGAAGAGTTGAGCAGTGGTTTGTGTTGAATATGTTTAACAATGTTGTGGTGTGAGAGGTGAGAGTTTGTGTAAGGATTATGTTTTAGGGGAAGTTGACTGCAGCCGGGGTTTTGGGGTTGGTTTGAGTGTTATTTGCTTGGAGGGGAGGATGGAGGGAGAGGCAAAGCTGTTATTTTTCTTTTCTTTGGCCGGGTCCTGCAGCTCCACCTTTAAAGGGCCTCTCTAAGTACACTTTCACTTCTGTTTTTAATTACAGGAATCTAAATTTAAAGAGACTGGAGTCATCACACCGGAGGAGGTGAGAATATGTGTCAGGTGTAAATAAAAACAGGATGTTGTGATTTGCACAAAACTCCATATTTAAAACTTTGTTTATATATTTATTTCCGTTGCATAACGATCATTTTACCTACTTGTTTATAGCTCTGTTTACATGTATCTCCCACTGTTAGTCCGGTCACTGTCCCCTTATATCTTCAGTCTACTTGATCTATTTTGTATTTTATGTCTATATTTTTCTTTTCTTTTTTTAATCACAGTATGCATCGCAGATAGATATGACATTGCAGTTTTCGTTTTCTTTCCAGTATAGGGCAGTCCTTATCTATTTGATAAGATACTGTGTGTGTGTGTGTGTGTGAGTGTAAGTGTGTGTGTGTGTGAAGGAGAAGAATTAATTCACACTGTCTAAATTGCACAATTAGGTTGGCAACTTTTGAGTACCAATGTTTTTGTTCAATGCAGACAGTGCTCTGGAGTTTCAAAACAATAAATTGCCCAATATTGGGAACTTCAGATTTACCAGAAACATATCAAAGTTTTAAAATCTGCTTTTATGACACCCAATAATAAGCCTCTCAAAACTTCCCAGTCTTAAATACGGAGTTTCAATGTTGTGCAAATCGTCACATTCTGCTTGAATCATCATTTTGTTGAGGACATCGTTTGATATGATTTAATCTCATGATATAAATAATCCTAAATCCTTTCTATCGATTGTAAACTTGTTCTCATTCAGTTTGTTGCAGCTGGAGATCACCTGGTTCATCATTGTCCCACATGGAAATGGTGAGTGTGTTCACCTGCGGCTTTAGACATCAGGGTCGTCATGACGATAGAATGTTAAATGTTGATGTGAGAGTATAAATCACATGATATCGAAACCTGTTTGACATTTCAGTACCAGAGCTCCAAAAACATGGCCTGGTTTGAAATAATGTTTTTGTTCCTCTCTCCGTTCAGGGCCTCTGGGGAAGAAGTGAAGGTGAAGCCATATTTGCCGCAGGATAAACAGTTTCTCCTGACGCGTAATGGTGAGAATATTTAAAGTGGAGACGGCTGTTCATGAAGTAAATCAGTGTCTTCACTGAATCTGAACTCAAGCTGTCCTCACTCCTCCACTCCTGTGTTGTCTGTGCAGTCCCCTGCTACAAGCGATGTAAACAGATGGAGTACTCAGACGAGCTGGAGGCCATCATAGAGGAGGACGACGGAGACGGAGGATGGGTGGACACGTACCACAACTCAGGTTAGAGAACCTCCTCTTCATAAAAAAACACATTTCATGGAACCTGTTCTTCACAGCTGCCGACAGGTCTGCAGAATCTGAAGTGACTTTTAAAGGGCTGCTAAAAACTCCTTTTCATAAATTCTGTCTGTCTGTGTGTTTACCTGTGATTGTGTTTGAATGCTTGTTTGTGTGTTTTATGTTGATCTTTATGTATGAGTGCTTGTCTGTATGTTCTCAATCTGAATCACTTTGTACCTGCATGTTTTAAAAAGTGGAAAGCTGATCTGAATTGTGTCTTTGTGTCGTGTTCCTGCAGCCTTGTTAGGAGTCACAGATGCTGTACGAGACATTTCCCTGGACAACAATAAGGTTTGCATCGTTCATATCTTTCATATGTTTGTTCTGATGTGTGTTATCATGCAGCTGTAAACGCGTCCTCTTAATTTAAACTCCTGCAGGACAAGAACATGAACGCCACATCTGCGGCGAGTTGTGACGAGGGCGATGGTGAAGACGATGAAGACGAAGAAGCAGCAGATATGGAAGGTACTCCTCACATCTCCTCACAAGAGAAGCACAAAGCCGTTTAGTTTATTTCACCAGAGCTCTTTTTTTTTTTATGCTGTCTTTGCAGAATACGAAGAAAGCGGCCTGTTGGAAACGGACCAGGTAGACGGATCAGATCCATTCAGTATCAAAAGGTTATGAACGTTAATCCTCCTGTGACCTCTCACCTCTTCCATCTGTGCAGGCGACCCTGGAAACCACTAAGATGGTAGACACTAAAGCCAAGGTAGAGCTGGGGAGCGAAGACGCCATCCTGCAGACGAGAACATACGACCTGTACATCACATATGATAAATACTACCAGACCCCTCGACTCTGGCTGTTTGGATACGACGAAGTATGTTCACCTCTGCTCTTTGTCTTTAGAAACTCTGACATGTGATCATGTATACTTGATTGTTGCCATGTGGTGGACTCTGAAGCTTCAGTGTTTATCCAGCTCTGCATGGGTCTGTAAACCTTTCTGTGTTCTAACCTCTCTCCATTTTTCAAAAGCATCTCCAATATTGATCCTAGTTTGAGCACGTTTCTGCTCGTGGAGCTTATTAGAAACATGCAGAGGCTTTTTAGGTCGGGTACAATCACTTCTATCTGAACCACTTCTCTTGACCCGCTTCCATCGCTGCAACACCTGTTGACCTGATAACTGCTCTCATATCTGACAAACAGAGGGGCGTCCAAAACGGCCGTGTGGGGGTGGACGCGCTTTGATCCATAGAATCCATGAGCTCATCCAGGTGTTGTTTTGTTCTCCAGGACAGACAACCACTGACTGTAGAGCAGATGTACGAGGACATCAGCCAGGACCACGTGAAGAAGACGGTCACCATCGAGAACCACCCGCACCTTCCTCCACCTGCCATGTGTTCTGTACACCCCTGCAGGTAAGGGTCATATATTAATGAATGAATGAAACCTTTATTGCCCCTAGGGGAATTTGCCTTGCACAGAGAGCTAAAAAACACAATACAAACAAACATTTACAGGACAGCACATAAGAACACATAAAAACACACTAAAGCATCACATGATTCAATGAGGGAATTCAGCAAGTTAAATAAAGTGCAGAGTGCCGAGTTCGTCCTGTATAATCAGCTCTTATTAAGTAGCTGAATACTGCGCGGTACAAAGGATGTAATGACTCTTTTAGTCCTCACCTGGGCATTCTGTACCTGCGCCCTGAATTCAAGAGTTCATACTCTAACCAAAGGGGGTGCAGAGGGTCAGCTGTGATCTTGATGGCTAAATTCAGTGTGTACCCGTCTGTCAGGAAAGAAATGCTGTACATTTGATTCCCAGTTCTCTTGCTGCCTAGTTTAACAACTTTGTCCAGTTTGTTCCTATTTTGTAAGGACAGTGCTCCTGAATACAAAAGGTCAGCACACTTTGAATAAAAGTCTTCAGCATAGTGCTGTCAACATTAAAATTTCTTAGTTTCCTCAAAAACTAGAGGCGCTGTTGAGCCTTTGCATACCTTGCGTTTGTGTTGGTGTTCCATGTCAGTTTGTGGTCAATTATTGTGCCAAGATACTTAAACTCTCAGGCGTATAAAGACGTACATTATTACAGGAAGTGCACGGGTTGGGTGTGTGGGCGTTATCATCGTGTGACTGTGTGGATTTTCACATGTGGAGAAGGACTTTTGGCTGATCTGATGTTTACTTTCAGACACGCTGAAGTGATGAAGAAGATCATCGAGACCGTGGCAGAAGGAGGAGGCGAGCTGGGAGTGCACATGTATCCTTTCATGGCCACAAATTGACTTTTTAAAAATGTCAGATGAAATGCAAAGAAGGTTCAGGCAGCCTGTCGCAACACAGCCTACATATGTTGTTAAGCTGGCTACAGACTAGACGATTTTGGGCACAATAAACCCCCCAATGGTCAGGGGGCGTGGCCCGATTTGAGACTTGTTGCAACCGATTATTTGTCCAGGTAATCCTCACTCGTGTTATTTTACTGCTCCTGATCGAGTCCGAGCATCCCTGATCTGGAATCATAAATATGGAACATGTTTGATCTTGTGTGTAGCTGCAGCGTCATTACTGTGTTACTGTGGTTGACTCTCTCCTGTTTCCTTAACTCTACTTCCAGGTATCTTCTCATTTTCCTCAAGTTCGTCCAGGCCGTCATTCCCACAATAGAATACGACTACACGCGAAACTTCACCATGTAGCTCCGTGAATATCTCCTCCAGACACGAGAAGGATCGGCTCTCTTCTGCCTCTCTGTGAGATTTGATCTGCTGTGTGTGACTCTGCAGGACACGAGGAATGTCAAAGGAGCAGTCTGATGTTTTCATGCAGGCTGGTGGTCGCATGAGTCAGATGAGATTTAGAGTTAGAACCACGACCGAGTGTTAGAGCCACACGAAAGAACAGCATCAGGAGATGACAACATTAAAGGTCAAATAATCACGAGAATAAAGTCGCAATCTTCTGAGAAAACTGGAGTCTGTGGTGAACTTGAAGTTATTCAAAGGAGTGTGTGTATTCAGTTCCATCTTCAGTCCTGTTAAATTACATTATCTTTATATTTATTCTTGAAATAATTACGACTTTTTTCCTGAATTGTCCTGATTTAACTCTCAAAACTTTTCACAACAACAAAAACTTCACACACATGTTTTGAGGAGATCTGAGATTTATTTAAACTGATTGAAGAGGAGGAGAATATGTGACCTTTAATGTGGCCCTAATACTCGATCGTACATAACGCAGACGGATGTTTTCTGTCTTTCTAGCTACTGTCTTATTTACTGATTACATCTTTGAGTTTCTCCTGTAGAAAACAGAAAATGTCAGTCTGCAGCGATGGACTAAACAGGTTGGAAGTTTCCCACATCTTGCAGTCATCTCTCTGAACTCAATCAGAAAAAAAAAAAACCCTGATTTCTCGTCTGACTCAGGCGGCTGAATCCTGAACGTCAGACTCCTCCTCTCATGTCTCTCTGCAGCTTTTTTAAGTTGTGACATCGGCCTCACTAAGCTCCTGTTATGACAATTTCATTTCTGTAACAAAACAAAAAACTCACCTCATTCCACTCTGCATCTAAACGAGTAATCAGCTCTGATTCTGCAAAACACAACAGCCTCCACGTAGTGACAATAAAACGTGTGATAGAAAACATGTCTGGATTAATAACAGTCATTTATCACAAGAACAGACACAGATGTTAAAGTTGTATATGTTTTTCTTTTGGCCACTAGGGGGCAGCAAACACAGCCGTAAACAAAATTTGCATCTCTTTCTTTTGTTTTTAATGAATGTAAGTCTGATGTTTTTCTTTCTTGGGTGAGAGGCGGGGTTACCCGTCAATCACAGGCCACAAGCCTCCACACTGACGGTCAATTTAGAGTCCCCAGTTCACCTAACGAGCATGTCTGTGGACTGTGGGAGGAAGCCGGAGTACCCACAATGAATCCGTAATGACTGTAATCATAAAGAAAAATGAAAACAGCAAAGATTTGGGCCATCAAACCAAAATAATGATCATGCCCAACCCTGCACTCTTTTAGTTTTCCTGTTCAGCACATCCACGTCTCGTACAAACCTTTCAGTAATCATCAGAATAAGGTCTCAAATCTGAACAGTTTTTGATGTGTTCACTATGAAGAGTCTCAGTCGCGTTTATAGAAGCTTCTTGGTTATTAATATTGCTGCTCTGCTTCACTGTGGTGATTCTCATTGATGCACTTTGCAGGCTGAGCCTCGTTGTTGATGAAGCTCCTCATGCCGGTTTGTCTTAATGCTTTCTTCTCTGAATGTTCTGATGTGCGCCCTGTTTATTCGTCCACTCATGTTTACAGGCTTTTTGTGATTTTATTTTACTTCATTTTTTTTTTCTTTGCTCTGCAGCTTCCGTCACAACCTTGAGCTTTTATTTGTCTTTGCCTCTGCAGCGTGACGCATCTCCTTCTGTTGTGTCTAAGAGCTCTGTGTGAAGGTCGGCTGTGAGCTTGATTGTGCAGCAAAAACAAACTTCTGTTATCGTCACGAACCTCTCAATAAATCCTTCAGTGAATATGTGGACTGTATCTTTTGGATGGTGTTTCTGTTTGGCTCAGCAACATGTTTATCTTCATAATATACCTGCTACAGTGATACTCGCTTGTTTTCCTGAATAAAATACTCACTCAACGATCTGCTCTGATGTTGGCTGGTGACACTTGGACATTTTAAAGATTCATAAATAAAAGTGTTGCATCAGTGTTGTTTCCTGTTTTATTTTGGTGCTTCCTCTGGAGATTTCACCTGGCCGCCAGAGCCTGTGGAGATGTTGCTCTACTTTCTGACAAGCAGAGAACAATTTTTACTATTTATTTTAATTTATTCATCCGTTTATTTTATTTAAATGTTTTAATCACTTTTTATTTAATTGAAAGTATGACTTTTACGTATTTTATTCATTACATTTTATTTTATTTATTACTGTTTTTATTTTTTTGAATTTATTTTATTACTATTAATTTTATTTTATTTATTACTATTTTTGTATTTTTTAGAATTTATTATATTACTATTAGTTTTATTTAATTTATAACTATTTTTGTATTTTTTTGAATTTATTTTATTTGAATGCATTTTTTACTATTTATTTTATTTTCATCTGTTATTTACTATTTATTTTATTCATCACTTTTTATTTTAATTTTTAGAATGTATTTATTATTTATTTCTTCTTTGCCTCCGCTGCTGCTGCTTTCTACTTTCTGACAAGCAGAGAACCATTTTTACTATTTATTTTAAAATAGTCATCACTTTATTGTATTTAAATGTTTTAATTACTTTTTAATTTAATGAAAGTATTACTGTTATGAATTTTTTCATTACTATTGTTTTATTTGTTTTATTACTGTTTTTTTATTTTAAATAAAATATTACTATTAATTCTATTTAATTTATTACAATTTTTTGATTTTTTTAGAATCTATTTTATTTTAATGTATTCATCAATTTGTATTTATTTGTATTTATTTTTCTAGAATGTATTTCTATTTATTCATTAATATCTATTTTATTTTATTTATTATCATTTATTTATTTTATTCGTTACTATATATTTTAATTTAATTTATTCTTTACTATTTACTTTATTTTCATCTATTATTTACTATTTATTTTATTCATCACTTTTTATTTTATTTTTTAGAATGTATTTATTATTTATTTCTCTGCTGCTGCTGCTGCTTCTGCTGCTGCTCCACATTCAGATTCAGACCCGATTCTGACCAGAAGGTGGCGGCAGAGAACCTACAACCTGCTATGACATCAGGGTAAACGGCACCTCCGAAGAAGGGTGAGCAGTATGCTGTCAGTGTGTGGAGGTCACGCTGCTGCCGTGTTGTGGACCCATCATGTCCGTGTTTTTCCCCACTCTCCTGCTCTGTGTTTACGGATTCTTCTCCAACCTGCGGCCGTCGGAACCGTTCCTCGCCGCCTTCCTGATGGGACCGGACAAGAACCTGACGGAGACCCAGGTGAGTGAAGCTAACTCGGCTAAAGCTAATAAACAGTGAGGACTACAACTTGCGTCACTTTTTAACGGACTTAATTTCAGCTGTTTAATTTCCTGACAGAAACATTAAACCACGTTATTTGTCTTATTCTTCAATTATTTAACATGTCTGATTTTACCGTGATATCGATTTTAATTTAATTTAATTTCCAAGTTATAAAACGTGTTTTTAAACTGAAATAAACAGAAATAAATATAAATAAATTAAAATAAATTGAAATAAATTGAAATAAATTGAAATGAATTGAAATGAATTCAAATAAATTAAAATAAAGCGTCCTGACATTTTATTTATTGACTTGTTATAAAGCCACCATAAAGAAGGGGAACTACACTACCTGTTCAGGAGAGGTCACCTTTGTAACAATAAGTATTAAAAACACAATTTTAGTTTAAAATGAATCCTTAAAAACTCTGTCAGGTGCGGATTTAGGGTTCAGGTCTCCAGGTATTTGAATGAGGGCTCTGGTCTTTATTTGGCATTTTTAATCAACAAACAGGTATTTTAACTGTTCACAAATTACTCCAAGCAGACAAAATATAAATATGACAACCAAACTGACCAGAAAACATCAAATATCCTACAAAAATATCCTTAAATTAGTTAAAATGAAACAACACTTGAGAGGCTTATGGCACTTTTTGAAAGACTGCAGAGCTTTCACACACATTTCTCATGCAGAACATTTCCTCATGATCAGGCTGTGTGTCTTCATTTTCTGTGTCTCCATTTCCTCAACCAGCTGAACAAACACACACACGTTTCCTTAAGCATTCTTCGACCTTTATGCTCACTGTTGAACCCGCACAGGGCCGTGCACAGTCTCACAGGCGCTCTGTGTGAGACGATGACGCCGTGTAAACCAGTCTGACATTGAACAAATAACGCAAACAGTTCCAGAAGAAGCTCCGTGTTTCTGTATCAGAGAACTTCTGATCTCTTGAGGATTGTTTCATAACAAAGAGCCGGATGTCTTCCGACCGCTCGTTCTTTTCATTTTCTTAATCTCGCTCCGACAAAAGGGCCAGGGCGGAATAATCCTCTGGAATTTTTGGTTAATCCTGAAATAATTACCTCCATCGATCTGTGAGCTGGCTTAGATTCATCGTCAGGGATGTTTGCATCCTTAAAAAAATCTGTGTGAAAGTGGTTCATACGCAGAAACGCCTCGCTTTAAGTCAGAGCATAAACAAGAGCAGATAAATCATCTTCCTTGATAATCAGGAAATCAATGCTTCTCTTCATCATATCAGCACATCAGCAGGTAGACCGGAGGCGGAGCCTGTGGTCAGTGTGCTGGCAGGACCTCCTGAGCGGGTTGAAAAGAGAAATAAACTTCACTGACTGATTTGAAATCTTAGCGTTTCTCTCTTCTCTGCAGGTTGTGAACGAGATCTTTCCCATCTGGACGTACTCGTACCTGGCGTTGCTGTTTCCCATCTTCCTGGCCACGGACTACCTCTGTTATAAACCTATCCTGGTGCTGCAGGCCTCCAGTTTAGTCGTCACCTATGTGATGCTGCTGAAGGCGCAGGGCATGCTCGCCATGCAGCTGATGGAGTTCTTCTACGGCCTGGCCACGGCGTCGGAGGTGGCCTACTACTCGTACATCTACAGCGTGGTGGAGCCGGCTCACTACCAGAGAGTGACCGGCCTCTGCCGCTCCATCACTCTGTTCGGATCGGCGGCGGGATCTCTGACCGGTCAGCTGCTGCTCTCCGTGGCCAAAGTTGAGCTGCTGCACCTCGTCATCATCACGCTGACGGCGGCCGCCTTGGCCTTCGTCGCTCCCTGGTTTCTGCCCATGCCCAAGAGGAGTCTGTTCTTCCACAAGAGTCCAGGATCAGCGGAGGAGGGACAGAAGGGGGGCAGCGCCGCCCTGCTGGAGAAGGCTGACGATGCAGAGAGTAAAGTGCCTCTAAACATCCAGTACGCCCCGGTGAGAGACGTTCAGATTCAAGTTTTCAAAATGATCTTCTTGATTCTGTCTCTGCAGGAGTTTGTCTGCAGATTTAAAATGCAAACATCCGCTCTCTGTCTCCAGATATCCAGCTCCTCTGAGACCGAGCGTCCTCGGAGGGGTCTCCTGGACGTGCTGCGGATGCTGTTTGACGACTTCCTGCAGTGCTACAGGTGTCGCCCCCTGCTGGCCTGGTCGCTGTGGTGGGCTCTGTCCACCTGCGGATACTTCCAGATCCTCAACTACGCTCAGCCGCTGTGGGAGAAAGTTCGTCCATCGCACGATTACGAGATCTACAACGGATACGTGGAGACCGCGTCCACGCTGCTGGGTGCGTTTTGTCAAATTGAAGAATTATCCGGAGCGTGTTAGGTTGAAATTTCTTTTTCCTAACTGTCGATTTTGATGGATTGAGATAAATGTCTGTGCACGTCCTCAGGTGCTCTGGCGGCTCTCCTGGTGGGCTACCTGCCCGTGAGCTGGTCTCTGTGGGGCGAGCTGGCTCTGTGTGTCATGTCCCTGCTCATGGCCGTGTGCGTCTTCGTCATGGACATGCTGAAGAACATCTGGCTGTGTTACGCCGCCTACATCGTCTTCAGAGCCGCGTACATGCTGCTCATCACCGTGGCAACGTGAGTACATAAGTCAGGGATCTGAGCGCGGGCAGGTCTGCATGTTCCCCCCAAATGAGCTCAGGCGTTTTTGGAGTTATTACTGCGCTACAGATCTAAACCTTCCCGACATGTCTGACTGATTCTCTGCCCTCTGATTGGTCAGGTTTCAGATCGCAGCCAATCTCAACATGCAGCGTTACGCCTTAGTGTTCGGGGTGAACACCTTCATGGCCCTGCTGCTGCAGACTCTGCTCACGCTGGTCGTCGTGGACTCCGTCGGCTTCGGCCTCGACGTCTTCACTCAGGTGAGGAGGGGCGACGTCTTCTCGTCTCCTATCTGCGCCTCCTTCACTTAAAGTCTGATTGACGGCTGACCCTTTCCTTCTTCTCGCAGTTCTTCATCTACGGCGGATACTTCACTCTCATCGCGGTGGTGTTCCTCCTCGCCGGGTTGTGCAAACTGGTCTCCAGGAGGCGCTCTGAGGAGGAGGTCTTAGGCAACGGCTCGGCAGAAACCGGATCAGACTCTCCTCCAATCAGTGACACCTGATGGCAATCACGATATGTCTTAAAGTTTGAACCTTTCAGTTTAGAGAGCAGCAGAGTAGAAAATAACACTTTACTTAGTGAAACCTAAAACTTTAAAGGAGCTTTTAGACCGTCGTTTTAGACTTCAAATGTCCGCTATATTCCGTTATATGTTCATGACACAATGAAAGAAATGAGCAGAATGAAATTTGCCCCTTTTTGCCTTCAGACTCGATGAGCAGCACTTTATATCAGCGAGCACTTCTCCACGTTTACTTTGACACCAGCCAAAAAAAGAAAAGAGTTTATTTGAATATTTATTGTTTCCTCCTGTCGTCGTGTGTGAGACGTTTGGGTACTCGTGAGGAGAATCAGTGTTGGGATGTTAAGTCTCTGTTTTTTATGAAATGTCACCTGTAGCTCTTGTGAGACTTCAGGATATCGCTCTGAGATAATCTGTTGATACTTGATGTTTTTAAAAAAGTGCCTCGAACGTTCAAAAACGCTGCTTCTGCAGTGAGACATTCCTGAATTCTTCCAGGGATTTAAAGAGTTTCTTCATTGTCAACAGATCTGATGAACGGACAAAAACCAGCAATGATTGAGTCCACTTTGTTCGGACTTCCTGTCTTTAGCTCTCAGCCCCGAGCTCATTGGTTCCCTCTGACGGTGACGTGTACGTCAGCTGTTCTCTGCAGACGAAGAAAACCTCACAGAGAGCAGTCCCACAGTCCAGCCAGACCATGCAGACAGAGTTTATCAGTCTACAAACCAATCAGTACTGCAGAGATGAGCGCCGGCGCCCTCTTGTGGTCCCTTTGTGTAATGACACACAAGTAGGCCAGGCAAGGTGCCGTAAATCACAGGTTAAGGATAGATACTTTATTGATCCTGAGGGAGATTCAACAAAATAATAAATAAATAAGTCAATAAACATCTAACCAAGACATTATGGGATGCATGGCACATTGTAAGACTACATTCAAGGAGTGTAAGCACAAGCCACTGACGCAGGAACGCCATGTGGTCAATCATCACACTACACCCCTTTTATTTATATATCTTTAAATATTTATTTGGAGAGTAACGTCTCAGAAAAATAAACACTAAGGATAAATGTATTGTTGGTTTCTCTCCGTTTATGGGATGTGTTGACATCTGCACGTGTTGACGAGGTTTGAACCAAATGATTGTGGGACGTCATCAAACTTTTGGAAGAGCCAAACAGAAAGTAGAAATGCCTGCAGAGGATACGGCTCGTCGTGTGGATGTGTGTGTGTCCAAGTGTTGAGCACTTAAAGTGATGTGTGTTTATTTTCATACTGGTTGACTGTTACTGGAAACACAAACATGGCTGGAGGACGGAGCGTCCAAAACTGACTGGTTTGTGTTTTCACTTTTTAACATCCTTTTTTTTGTTCATAAAGTTCAGATCATGTGTCTAAAAACGCTGCAACTTCAGCTCTCATTAACTTTATTCACTGTAATAAAAACTTTATTAGTCGAGCTGCACAATCACAGACACCAGTGCTAACACTGGGCGTACAGACGGCTTAAAGGGAGGGTTGGTCATTCTCCAAAACAAGCATGATCGTGAAAGTAGCATTCCCTCAGTGATCTGTCTTAAGAAGTGGATCTGGAGGAAATCACCCACCCTGCCTTTAAGTCTTTTGAGGATGTTTTAATGACTGATTTATAGTGTTTTTATTTTTTGTTGCCTTTTTTGTTTTAGACTGTACTGTAAAAGAACTCCACCATGTGTGTTTATTTTTGTTAACTGTCAGAACTGTGGTGTGTTGGGATGTTTCTATAAAGACGTGGACTCAGTACTTTTGCATTGTTTGATTTCTTGCCGTGTGACTCGTTATCGTACACAAAGCGATGCTGCAGAGGATTATGGGTCGGACATTTTGCACAAACTGGTCCGGGGGTGTTTACATCGCAGACTTTTTGGGAAACAGAAACCTCACATTAGTCATGATTAAATTGCTTTAAGCAGTTTGTGGGATTTTGTGCCATCTAGTGGTGAGGCTGCACATTTCTACCAAATAATAACGCATCATATTTCCTTAACAAGCAGCAACCTCTGGTGTTTAAAAATGAAGCTGAAGTGTAAAATCCTGCAGTTCCTGGAGTGTCCACTAGAGGCTGGCTGCAGAAGCACAGGAAGTCACATACACACCCATTCTAAAAAGCCTGTTTTTACAGCAGAGATGAACATGTTTACAGCCTGGTTCAAAAAACCAAATAGGTGTGATTAGCTCATGTCTGGATGGACACACACTGTACGGGGGGTGAATGTTTTGATGACTCATCAGTTTTGATTTGATGAAGGATAAGAGTTATTCACAATAAGGCGTGTAGCTGACCTGATTGACAGGTGGGCGCGGTGTAACGGTTTGTCAGGAGGTTTAAAACCCGCCTCAGCTCCAGCTCTTCAAACATTTACAGTCGATGAGTTAAAAAACGCAAAATGTACAAAAAATAATTGCAATCAAAGTCTGTTTCGTGGTAAATTCTGTTTATTTCTACATAAAACATCGAGGTCAAAGTGTGTGTGTGTGTGTCAGGTGAGGCTCCAGATGACAGTGAGCATCCCCATGATGCCGTTTAGAACCGCAACCCCATAGCCCATGAAGAAACTCTGTCCTGAAACATCTCTGGAACAAAAACAAACACACAGAAATGACTTTTTTTTTAGCATGTCGACAACATCACCTGCAGGAAGAACATCGGCCTGTGTGATGACGGTGACGATCTACTGGCTTGAATCTGAGAACCTTTAGCATTGTGTGCAGTGTGTTACACAGGTGTGTTACCTAAAGTCTGCAGGTGTGTGCAGCGTCGTGAACTCTCTGCTCGGCCGCTGCGAGTCGATGTAGGTGAGAGTCCACGAGAAGACGCAGCAGATACATCCTACTAATACTGACAGCACCAGGATACTCCAGAAACCTGCGCACACACACACACACACACACACACACACATCATGACACTTGCTAAACTTAATATTTAGGTTATCTGGACGAAGCTGCACAGGAGGAAGGAGTTCACTAAAGTCCGATTAGTACATAAAAAATGAGATGTTTTTAAATGATGTTGTTGTTTGTACTCACCTAACATCCTCTGTTCAGTCCCGTCCTCTCCTCTCACTCTCTCTCCCCGCAGGTCTGCAACAGTCCCAAAGAAATGAAGCATGAAGTCTTTTTTACAAGAAAATGACGTTTTTTTTGTTTTTTTTTCTTGAGCTGCTGTAAAGCAAAAATGTCCCCCATGGGGGATCAATAAACTTTATCTTTATCAGATAAAGTGTAGATTATCTTGACTCGCTCTGTGCATGCTGTTTACATTATTTTGAAGAGCACACTGTCATGTTTCTACACTTGAACAGAAGCCCAGATTAGATTCTTTATCTGTTTTTTCTCCCATGAGAGGGAACTTCATCGTGTAATCTGCATCAAATAAGATGACCTTTATCAAATACGCTCCACAGTAAGGGCACCCTAGTTTATCCTCTGGAAGAACACTCAGAGAGCCTGTAAACATGTTTTCTGCACTGGAGAGGCACGGTGGAGGTGATTTTATTTCCATTTTTTTCCACCTGAAGCATCGCTTATCTTGTTTTCTCCACTGGCAGAACACCTGATCATAATCTTTACAAGCCTCGAAAACACTTCAGGATGTTTAATCCAGCGTTCAGGTATCCATGAAGGCACTTCTGTTGGGCTTTAGATGCTGTGCATGCTGCCTACTAAAGAGAGACGCCTACATCACAGCCAGGACGCAGCGGGTTTGCCCTCCTTAGAGGTATGGCGCCATTAACACCCGGAATAACACTCTGAGGAAAAGCTTCTTTCCCAGGTCGAGGGTTTGATCCCCAGATCCTGCAGCAACGTGTCTTATGCGTCATTGGGCGAGACACTTAACCCCAAGTTGCTCCCACTGCTTTGTTGTGGAGTGTTATTGTGTATGAATGGACACTTTGTACAGCAGCCTGGAGCCTCAGTGTGTGTGAGTGTGAGTGTGTAGGTGTGTGTGTGAGTGTGTAGGTGTGTGTGTGTGTGTGTGTGTGTGTGAGTGTGTAGGTGTGTGTGTGAGTGTGTAGGTGTGTGTGTGTGTGTGTGTGTGTGTGTGTGTGAGTGTGTAGGTGTGTGTGTGAGTGTGTAGGTGTGTGTGTAGGTGTGTAGGTGTGTAGGTGTGTGTGTGTGAGTGTGTGTGTGAGTGTGTAGGTGTGTAGGTGCGTGTGTGTGAGTGTGAGTGTGAGTGTGTGTGTGAGTGTGTAGGTGTGTAGGTGTGTGTGTGTGAGTGTGAGTGTATAGGTGTGTAGGTGTGTGTGTGAGTGTGTAGGTGTGTGTGTAGGTGTGTGTGTCTCATTTGGATCGAATCGTGACAGATCTGTGCAGTGTGTGCAGTGTGTACAGTGTGTACAGTGTGTGTAGGTGTGTGCAGCGTGTGCAGTGTGTGTAGGTGTGTGCAGTGTGTACAGTGTGTGCAGTGTGTACAGTGTGTACAGTGTGTGTAGGTGTGTGCAGTGTGTGCAGTGTGTGCAGTGTGTAGGTGTGTGCAGTGTGTGCAGTGTGTACAGTGTGTGCAGTGTGTACAGTGTGTAGGTGTGTGCAGTGTGTGCAGTGTGTACAGTGTGTGCAGTGTGTACAGTGTGTAAGTGTGTGCAGTGTGTACAGTGTGTAGGTGTGTGCAGTGTGTACAGTGTGTAAGTGTGTGCAGTGTGTACAGTGTGTAGGTGTGTGCAGTGTGTACAGTGTGTAAGTGTGTGCAGTGTGTACAGTGTGTAGGTGTGTGCAGTGTGTACAGTGTGTAAGTGTGTGCAGTGTGTACAGTGTGTAGGTGTGTGCAGTGTGTGCAGTGTGTACAGTGTGTGCAGTGTGTACAGTGTGTGCAGTGTGTACAGTGTGTGCAGTGTGTGCAGTGTGTACAGTGTGTACAGTGTGTGTAGGTGTGTGCAGTGTGTGCAGTGTGTACAGTGTGTGTAGGTGTGTGCAGTGTGTGCAGTGTGTACAGTGTGTGTAGGTGTGTGCAGTGTGTGCAGTGTGTACAGTGTGTACAGTGTGTACAGTGTGTGTAGGTGTGTGCAGTGTGTACAGTGTGTGCAGTGTGTGCAGTGTGTACAGTGTGTGTAGGTGTGTGCAGTGTGTGCAGTGTGTACAGTGTGTACAGTGTGTGTAGGTGTGTGCAGTGTGTGCAGTGTGTACAGTGTGTGTAGGTGTGTGCAGTGTGTGCAGTGTGTACAGTGTGTACAGTGTGTGTAGGTGTGTGCAGTGTGTGCAGTGTGTAGGTGTGTGTAGGTGTGTGCAGTGTGTGTAGGTGTGTTACCTCTGAGTATCGGGTAGATGAAGGCGCAAACACACCCAACAGCAGCCACAGCAGCAGCCGAGCCCAGCACCGACAGCACCGTGAACCACCACCGTTTGGGCCCGGTCCCGGTGCCGTGGACCGGCCGTCCCGGTGCCACACTCCCTCCGTGTCTCACAGGTGAAGAGTCTGAGCTCAGCAGATCATCGCAGGAAAACGACCGACTCAAACTTTCTCTGTCCGCTGCACTCCTCGGCATCCTGCTGCACTTTTAAAAGACTGACCTTTGACCTCCTGGGAACAATTTCCTGTTTACAAACCTTATTAATAATTCATCTTTAGTCCCGCTCTGAATAAACTGTTCGTTTTAAAGCGCTTACAGGACCTGTAACTGTGCTGACATTTCCTCCTTCGCCTTTTTTTTTTTTCAAAGAGCACTTCCGCACACAAAGTTGTCCCTCGGGCGCTTCTGTAGGTGGAGTTTTATTTTCCGCTATTTTGAAGTCAAATGTCCGAAACTTTCATGAACATTAAAATAATTAAATAATAATTTAGACTAGAGCCAACTGTCCGAAAACATTTGAAATAACAATGACCTTAAAACATGTGTATTAAATACTTTCATATATTTATATATATAATAAATTATATTTATTTATTATGTTTATATTTATAAATTATATTTATTTATTATAGATTATATTTATTTATTATAAATTATATTTATTTATTATGTTTATATTTATAAATTATATTTATTTATTATAAATTATATTTATTTATTATGTTTATATTTATAAATTATATTTCTTTATTATAGATTATATTTCTTTATTATAAATTATATTTATTTATTATGTTTATATTTATAAATTATATTTCTTTATTATAATTATATTTCTTTATTATGTTTATATTTATAAATTATATTTCTTTATTATAAATTATATTTCTTTATTATGTTTATATTTATAAATTATATTTCTTTATTATAAATTATATTTCTTTATTATATATTATATATTTGTTTTAATCATTATTTTGTCCGGGAAATATTTTCAAACTGTTAATTAAATAAAACTATTATTATTGTTGATGTTTTATCAAATGTAATGTTTGCTTTTTGTGCCTGTGTGAAGCACATACAATTTTTGGTGTTTAATAAATATAAAAAGTCGGTTTTATTATTTTTTGTGAGTGTGACTTCTGTTTCGTTTTTTGTTTGTTTCATTTGTTTTGTTTTGAAATAAATTCTCAGAACAAATTTTGTTCTGATATGTTTTGTTTTTGTAACCGAACTAGTCGTGTCTTAAATAATAAGATTTGTAATAAGGGTAGGTGTAATAAGATGAAGCTTCAGCCTACACCTTTTCAGTCTTGTGACCGAAATAAATGATTACTACTACTACTACTACTTTATATTATCTGAGAAGTGCTATTAACTTGCTTTGCCTTGATTTGCAGTTCAAGCGACCCTATCTCTTTCACTTATAACTAACTCTCTTCTCTGTTTGTTTACATTACTTGCTGCTATTTATCATACCAAGTCACTTTAATCACTTGTCACTTTATCTTTTCATTCTCTGCAAATACTGTCTCAATTCCCTGCATAGTTAACTTCATCATTCATTTTGTACTTGTATATACCCCTTGTTTTTATTTTTATTTATCTTATCTATTCTGTTTAATGTGTATTTTGAGCTTTCTTGTCTGTGCTGCTACAACGCCCGAATTTCCTCTCTGGGGATCAATAAAGTTTTATCCTATCCTATCCTATCCTAACTATTAGTCTCTTTTGGTCTTTTAAACTCCTCTGTGCTTCTGGGACTGACTCTGCTTTTGCATATCCCCCTCAGATTTCTGTAATGTTACTTATGAATAAAAATAATCCAGAAATGCTGCTTATTTACTTAGTTTAATTTGCGTAAAGGGACTAGGAGTATTCTGACTACATTTTTGTCAAAACTGACCTGATCTATTTTTTCATTTTTCATTTTTTAAAATCTATTTTTAGTGTCTATCTATTTTTTTGTACATTCTTAATTTTTTTATTTTATTTTTATTTAAATTGTACTGTGTTCACTTTTATGTTTGCGATCTTTGCTCTTTGCTGCTGTAACACTGTAAATTTCCCCGTTGTAGGATAAATAAAGGATTATCTTAATAACACAACATTGATTCTATTTCTTTTCTATTTCTTCTTTTCTTTTCTCTTCTCTGCTGTTTAATCATCACTTGTCACTTTATCTTGTCATTCCCTGCAAATACTGTCTCAATTCCCTGCATAGTTAACTTCATCATTCATTTTGTACTTGTATATACCCCCTATTTTTATTTTTATTTATCTTATCTATTCTGTTTAATGTGTATTTTGAGCTTACTTAGATCAATAAAGTATTATCCTATTCTATCCTAGTTCTTATATTGTAATATAATTGTAATATCACTTTCAGCCACTAGAGGGCGCCCAGCTCCAAGGAGCGCTCTTATTTTGACACGGCACAACCGGAAGAGGTGTTGACGCTGATTGTTGCTGTCAACTGTCAACTGTACAGCGACTACGGAGGCAACAAAGCACATCGGGCGATTACAAAGCGACTAATTGCGGTAATTAAAACATTTAAATGATACTTTTGTTTACTTACATGAAGCTTAACGTTTTTATTAAATGTTACCTTATCATTATGAACATATTTTGCTAAATGAACCGTTACATCTCGCTAATGCTTACTGCTAATATTAGCTTACCAAGTTAGCCTCTTTAAATTTGCTGTTTTAAAATAACGGATGTGATTGTTTTAGTGTTTTTTGTTTTTTTTGGGGGGGTGTAAATGTAATATAAGGCATCTACCTGACTTATCACTTGTTGCTTATATCAGCAAACACATCAGAAGAGACTCTGTTTAGCAGCCTCATGCTGTTTGGAGAGAGCGGCGCACCAAACCCCACTTAAAAATCTGCTAATTTAATGCATCCTTGCTTTATCATCCTTACCATCTTTTTTTTAAGCTTAAAGTATTACATTTTCTCAATCAGAAGGTTCCACTTGAGATATCGGCGTTGATTAAATCTATCAGAAGCTACGTTGTTTGCAGCAGCATCCTGTTTAGAGTGACCGATGCACCAAATCCCACTTAAAAATCCGCTTATTGAACATGCCTTCACTTTTTTGCCCTTAGAGTCTGTTTTAAATCATAAAATGTCACGTTTTCCCAAATCAGAAGGTTCTCCTGGAGATATCGGCGTTAATTAAATCTATCAGAAGCCACGTTGTTTGCAGCAGCATCCTGTTTAGAGTGAGCCGTGCACCAAACCCCACTTAAAAATCTGCTAATTCAATGCGTCCTTGCTTTATCATCCTTAACATCTTTTTTGTAAGCTTAAAGTATTACATTTTCTCAATCAGAAGGTTCCACTTAAATATTGCATATATTAAATCTACGATTACTTAATTCATTAGATCACAGAAATGGTTAACATAAGGCACTCAGAAGCTTTAATTTCTCCAGTAAGGTTTCTGCTGTGCTTCAGAAATGTTCTCTTTTTTATTAGAGACAACTTTTTCTTTTTTTTTTGCTACAGAGCTGTTTAAAATGCAGGAATGTTAACTCTCACTTTTCTTGAACGGTATCACAGATGTATTATCTACAGTGTAAACACAGTCAGATGACCAAGTTCTCACGCCTGTTTGAAGCAGCTTCTCTCAGATTAACTGGAGCCAGTTCAGATGGTCTATCTGCTTTGGATTCTGCAGATACGTGTTGTGTTTATTATGAGGAACAGCAGACAGAGAGAGAGAGAGAGTTATATGCACTTCTCCATGTTGCTGCATTTGTCACATTATCTCAGTTTTAAACATTGCACATCACACATCCTGTTTGCATAAATTTGTCATGTTGTGCAGGCTCAGTCAGGACCTGGAGGTTATAGCAGCCGGCTTGTGTTGGCCGCTGTCCTTGAGCGAGGCCCTCAGTACTCAACGTCAAAGGGCCTCTTTTCATCAGAGATCAGACTGTAGATGTGCTGTAGTCGGCAGATTCCAGATGTGGTGAAAAAAAAGAGCAGTGCTTTTAGAAGTACTCTGGTTAAATCAAGGATTACACAAAATAAATCCTGTGCTGTCCCATCGTATAAAACCGTCTTCATGCTCTTCCTTGTGATAAATTAAAATTAGACACACGGATATCTCTAAACAAATTTAGGAGTCTCATAAAAAACGTGGCGACAGAGGCATGTGGTTGTTTCGTCTGAGTAAAGCACAACGAGTGCACCAAGTTCTCTTTCCAAACAGAAAGCTCTACGCACGACGAGTGAATAATTACGGCTTGTTTACATCAAATGCATCCTTATTAGTTCTTATTTATTGCCATAAATTCAGACTTTTGTGTTTCCACAAGCAGTTAAATGTGTGTTTTCCCTCTTAATCAAAGACGATCGTTTGCTGGTTGTTATTTTGTTAATCTAATTAGTCTCATAGCTGGTCCTTCCAGTTAACAAACTAATGCTTTAAGAGTGTTGCTCCTGAGTCCCGAGGATATTGGAAAAGAAAACAGGATTAAAATATAATATGGTCGAAGTGCTGCAGGCCCACCTCTCGTTAGACTCACTGCTGTGCTTCACAAATGATCTACAGTTTAGAGTCTAAGATGAGACGTGATTGTGCCACTAAAATATCCGATTAGATGATAAAATGAATGGTGACATTTATTTAACCAAAAACGCACAAATGTCAACTTCACTGATGCATCATAACGTCCCAGTTTGTGGAGGAACAAACGAAGGTCCTTAAATCTGGCACGTCTTTTTTTAGCTTTGGGGATTAACCGTCTCGATTTTGGTGGATAAAGGTCAAAGGTACCTCGCTGTTCTGGCATGCTTGTAAAACGTGATACGTCAGCCAAAACCTGGAGGGAATGGTCCTTATATCTTATTTTTCTATGTCAGATTCCCAGACTAACATGTGACCTTCTTTCCACCTCGTGCTCGACTCTCATACCTGTGTTCGTTCTGCTGCTTGTAAGGTCCATAATCAATGTCGTGCTCCGCAGAGAAACAGAGAGAGAGAGAGAGAGAGAAACAGAGAGAGCAGAAAGAATCACTCCCAAACGACTTGTGTGATGTGTCGATCAGGATTAATTACCCAGCTCAAGTATCCATATCAGGATTGTTACTACAGTTGTATTAAAGTTTAAAACTCTGGTATCGTGTTTTGTCATCCGCTGTGTTTATGCCATTTAGGAAGTATTCAAACAGAACTGCTAGCAGCACCGCCTGTCTCCTGAAGCAGCTACGCCATAAAGAGCTGAAGGATGAGAGAGAACTAATGAGCAACAACAGCAGCAGGCCTTTCCTCCTCCTGCCTGTCTCTCTCTCTCTCTCTCTTTAAAGGACACAGAGATTCTGGAGGTTTTTCCTCTGCAGTGTCGTTGATTTTTTCCTTTTCTTTTCTTTTTGCTGGGGAACCAGTCCCCTGCACCCTGAGGGATGATTTGACTAAGCTGCTTTCCTCTGCAGCTCTGCAGAGATGTGATAGAGGAGGAGGAGGAGGAGGAGGGATGAAGGGGGGCAGGGTGCTGCTGCTGGAGCCCTTCTGCAAACTCGAACTTGAACATACAACGACTGTGTGTGTGCATGTTTGAGGAAGGTTATACTGCAACATGATCTGCAAACATTGTCACCTGCAGACGGGTTTTGCACAGGATGGCGCACTGTTACACTGGCTGTTGAACTGGCTGACCGTGTGCTGTATTGTCTGCAGGCATGTGGATGTTCAAGTGTTGATGTGAGCATTGTTAGATTAGAAGTGACGGGCTGACGGCGAGGAATCCTCTTGTTTGATTTTCATATACGCAGCAGCAGGATGTTGACTGACTGAACACGCTTTATGTGTGTGTGCATGAAAACACAGATTAAGTGTTTGTGTAGTTTTAAAATCTGCATTTTGGATGATCTTTAATGTAATCAGAATTTTAGTGACCCGGTTACTTTGTGGTCAGAGTTCCAGCTTCACGTAACCTCCGATGGTTTTCACGTTAGAGCTGCAAAAATGAAACGATGGAAGGAAAATTAATCTCCAGATATTTTTTATAACTGATTGATTTTTAACAAGATATGTCAAACCTTTAGTCTCTCAAGCTTCTTAAATGTTTTTGGCAGGCTTTGCAGATTTCTAACATTTCATAGACTGAGAGATTAAACGCTTAATCGTCAAAACAACGGGCAATTAATGGGTTCCACAGAAGCCTTAGCTGCAGCCTTTTATCCACATTAAGCTGGTTAAGATTACAAATGCATGTGTGCTGCTGTACAGGCCAAAATAACAGAAAGCACAGCCAGCACGCCGCTGTTCAAACTCCTTCATGCAGCCCAGAGTTTCAGTTTGAACAGGGACAACAAAACCACGTCTGCTCAGCGAGGCATGGAGTGTGCGTGTGTGTGCGTGTGTGTGTGTGTGTGTGTAACCTCTCATTGTGTGGTAGCACTCACAGACACTCTCCTGTTGTGATGTGGCCAACTGGTCTGAGGTGGATTCTGTCAGACGCAGTAACGTGATGATGATGATGATGATGATGATGATGATGATGAGGTGACGCTGTGACACATCAGACAGATTAGAGAGGATGTGGTTTGCGAGCTGTAAAGACAAAAGAAAGACGCCACGACCGTCCAAAGGTCAAAGGGTCGTCCTGTGAACTCTGATATTTTAGTGAAAAACAAATGATATCTTTACCTGTTTGAATGCCATGGCAACAAAAATAGAAGTCCTGCACACCCATTATTGGGTACTTTCTTGTTTTCATGATCAGAAATCGCAGGCAATGTTGCCAATGTATGTGTGCAACTGAGACAGTGAGTGCTGGAGGCTGCTTGTATTTTCTGATGGATACATTCCTCTCCTACTCGCCTAGTTTCCCATCGATCATTGTTTGGATGATGGACGTGTTCATACATTCTCAGTTCCCTGTTGTTACCTCATGAACTCTAGGCTCCGCCCTCAGGGTGAAATAACCCCTCAACTATCTCCTCTCGCTGCCGTTGCGTGTTTCAGTTTGACCTCAAGCTAAAGTTCTGCATTCAGGAATTCAAAGAGATAAAAAAAAAAAAAAAAGAGGAACCTGTTAGTGTCTACATCATCTAAAATCCTTCCCAGAATCCTTCCTGTTGGAACCTCGGTTACAGGAAAACCAGCACACTGTGTGCTAACAGTTGATTTTTCTTTGTCAGCGTGTGTCGATGGTCAGCATTTGTGGGCTGACCGTTTCTGTTGGTTAGGAGCAATATTTATTTAAAGCAACATGCTGTCAGCCAGCATAACATCACAGAGGAGAGCGAGAACGTGGGGGTTGTGGGGCGAATGGGAGGGGGATGGCGGATAAACGAGGAAGTGTGAGTGTAGAAAAGGAGGAGAGAGTTAATGTGTGAGAAGAGGAAGAGACACGCGGTCATTAGTTTGAAGACGGGGTATTATGTGTTCAGCTCACTGAGCTGCTCAGTTTGTTGTGGAGAAGCTGCAGGCAGTGTGTGTGTCTCTGTGTCTCTGTGTGTGTGTGTCTCTGTGTCTCTGTGTGTGTGTGTGTCTCTGTGTCTCTGTGTGTGTGTGTGTGTGTGTGTGTGTGTGTATCTGTGTGTGTAAACTACAGTCAGACATCAGAGATACAACACACACGGCTGTAGTATCATCCCTCTCTCTGATGGTCGTACTGAGCATGTGCAGTTTGACTCTGCTGCGGTCTAATACACGAGCTCTGAATCTGAAGAAACAAAGATCATTCAGAAAAAGTTTTGGTCTTTTTTGCAGCTGAATAAGTCTGAAGAAAACCTTTTTTTATAACCCGACGATGCTTTTTGTTTTACGTGCTTTGGCATCAACGTCCGTTCAGTAGCTGCAGCTGGATCATCATGCTGAAAGCTGCTTCTAAACAGGGACTTTGTACGAGTTTGTGTTAATGATGGAGAAATATTCACTGCTCGATCATGAGCCTGAAATCACGTCTGTTTTCTCTTCATTTTGTCCTCTGACAGCTGTGTTTGACTGTTTTCCCAATCCACAGTGCAATATAACTCATGAATACTAACCTGCCGCTGCATACTGACATGACAGTGCAGAATCACTTAAGAGGCAACAACTCTGAGCAGATAAGGTTTAAAAATGTCTTCATATCAAACTGATCTGAGGTGTATTTTTCTCTTTCAGGACTGCCGTTGCTGCGTTTGTGTTTGTGAGTGGGTGCGTGTGGCGCCTGTCCTGCAGCGTGTGTGATGTCTTCAGAGCTGCTGGTGGATCTGGGCGAAGACCCTGCGACCGCCCAGTTAGGACAGCTCAAGCTGGCCACCATAGAGGACCAGCAGTGGCCCGCCGACGAGTCGACTCTCAGCAAGTCAGGTGAGAGAGAGAGTTAAACGCTGCACGCCTGAACATGTAGGATTGTGACTCCACCTCACCCTTAAGCTTTTTACTGACTTTCAAAATCCACCTTTAGCTGATAAATTTCACGAGGACTTCCAAAATTTTAAAACCTGGGAATTACTTTTCCATATGTTGGGGTCTTAACGACTAAAAGGGAGCTAACAGTTTTGGATATTCTCCCGTAATCCTCTGCAGAAACATGTGTCCTCGAAAAGTCGTCCTCTTTGTCGCTTGTTGTTCTTGTCACTTATTCTGAGTGTCTGACAACGTTACAGAGATGATCTCTGCAGAGATAGACCTTTTAGTTAAAGAGGAAGATGACTTACTTTAAACCACAACCAGCTGTTACATCACTCTCTACCAACACACCACAGTCGACACAAACACTGATGTTATCTGACAGAACACAGGAGCTGCTCTACTGCTGCTGTGTTGTTGTTGTTGTTGTGTTTTGATGTATTTTAAATGGTTAACTTGCATCAAACACAACAAAAATTAAAACCACAATTATTCCAATCAGTGAAGGCATCCATCGTCCTGTGACTCCTTCCTCCTTCCTCTCTCTCTCTCTCTCTCTCCCTGGTTTCTGTCTCTTTCTAGTCCTATCTCCAAATAAAGGCATCAGAAGCTCCAAAAATAAACCTTTAAAAAACCCAGAAAATACCAGAACTCTGCTTCAGAGCTGAAAGAAGTCCCCTCGGACAAATAAAAGAATTCCAGGAGATATTTCAAGAACAAAAATGCATCCAGAGACATTTCCAGGAAAGAAGGAAACCTACTGATTGATTCAGACTCATTTAACAAACACAGGATTAAAGGTGGACGCAGCAGGAAGACTTTCAAACATTCTCGTAAGTCTCTTCTGTGTGAGCTTTTTAAATGTTGGTGTGTGTGTGTGTGTGTGTGTGTGTGTGTGTGTGTGTGTGTGTGTGTGTGTGTGTGTGTGTGTGTGTGTGTGTGTGTGTGTGTGTGTGTGTGTGTGTGTGTGTGTGTGTGTGTGTGTGTGTGTGTGTGTGTGTGTGTGTGTGTGTGTGTGTGTGTGTGTGTGTGTGTGTGTGTGTGTGTGTGTGTGTGTGTGTGTGTGTGTGTGTGTGTGTGTGTGTGTGTGTGTGTGTGTGTGTGTGTGTGTGTGTGTGTGTGTGTGTGTGTGTGTGTGTGTGTGTGTGTGTGTGTGTGTGTGTGTTTCAGAGACCGACCTCTCCCAGCCCTTCGATGCCAGCTCTCCTCACCTGCCCTGGGACCACCCCTTCTATGACATCGCCCGGCACCAGATCATCGAAGTGGCCGGTCAGTCGTCCAATCACAATCCTCCTTTCACTCCTCAGTCCCGTCGTGATTTAAACAGAGACGTTTGGCTTTTATTTTTTAATTCTTACGGCCACATTTTTCAGGGTTATCAGCAGAATTTAAAATGAGAACGCCTTCATGATCTGTGAAGCGTCAAGGGAAAAAATAATAGAGATAAATAAAGAAACTATGGAGTGAATAGTAGAAGAATAAGGAGGTATCTTCCTCCCTGTGTGTGTGTGTGCAGGTGATGATAACTTTGGCAGGAAGGTGATCGTGTTTAACGCCTGCAGGATGCCTCCACAGCACCAACTGGACCATCACAAACTGCTCATGTATGGAGCGCTTCCTTCAAACGCCTCTCCTTTCTTCAGATAAAAAATAATCTTTAACGCCATGTGCAAAGAGAACACAAACTATTTTTTTCACGTTACAGGTATCTTAAAGGAACTCTGGACCAGTATGTTGAAAGTGACTACACTTTGATTTATTTCCACCACGGGCTGACCAGTGAAAACAAACCGTCCCTCGGCTGGTTACGAGAAGCGTACCGAGAGTTCGACAGAAAGTAAGATCAGAGACGTCACTGAGCACGTGCAGACACCTGTAGTTCTTCTTACTATACTTCTTCATGTTGCCATGTGCGACATATCTTGACTATTCTGCAGCTTCTGATTCAGAACGTGTCCGTCCGCTGTGGTTAGACACGTGCACATGACGCCCTGCTGCTGCACAATAACCACACACACACACACACACACACACACACACACACACACACACACACACACACACACGTCTGCACTCATCACACTTGTTGGTTTTTCTCCTGTCTTTGCGAGAAGCGTCAGATTACAGAAGCCTGTTAATCCCGTGCGTCACAGCTTCGCTCCAACTGTTTGTGTTGAATTCCTGATTTGCATCACAAAGCGATAAAAAGATGTTATGTAACCAACTGCAGCATGAAATGCATCACAATTATGACACTTTAATAATCAGAACAACAACCAACACACACTGCCAGGGGTACTAGTGAGGTTTTAGACCTCGTCAGAAGCTGCTTGCATGCAGCACGAGAGCTGTTTGAGAAGTATGAGCAGAAGTTGAGAGCTCATTTTAAAGTCAAAACAGCACACAGCCTGTTATCTCATCTTTACTGCACGTTCTGTGTCATGGTCTGTATCTGTTTGTTTTTTGTTTTCAGGTATAAGAAGAACATCAAGGCTCTTTACATCGTCCACCCCACCATGTTCATCAAGACTCTGCTGATCCTCTTCAAACCCTTCATCAGGTCCTTCTCATTTTCTAAAATTATTATTATTAAGAGTCATGTTAAACATGATGCAGCTAAAAGTCTCTGATGGGGGGGGGAGTAAGGCCACACACTGCAGCATTTAAAGCCTAAACTCATTTGCAATGCCCATCCCTGGAATATTTAATGACAAATCCATCATCGTTTTATTCTTTGCCTCACTCTCTCTAGGATTTCTAAAACAGATAAAAATAATAAGAATTCACAAACGTTGTCATGAAGAGCCGGTCACTTTGTGTTTTCTTATAAAGCTTACAGTTTTTGAAAACATCTTCTACTTTATTATGATATTTAATTCCTGGGTTTACAGGAAATGAAGCCGTGTGCAATTATGTGAGGAGCAAACTGTGAAACAGAGCTCTGGTGACACCTGGTGGCAGCTTTAGGAAATTACAACATTTACAATCGTTTCACGGCACAGTCTTTTAATAAACTCTTTTTCAGAGGTTAGAACGAGTATATTCAACCTCTTTAAGACAAACAAGGTTACTGGTACAAGATACATCTGCCCTAATCTTGTGTTTTCCTTCAAACAATCCACGGTAACCATGTTAGTGTTTAAATAAAGTTAGATTATTTCAAGTGTTACCGAGCGTTCAATGGTATTTCTCTCTGTTTTCCAGTCAGAACTAAAAAGTAAACAAACACTTCCTGCTCAGTGTGAATTAAATCCGTGATACGACATCTGATGCAGCGTTATTTTTCAGCTGTTTCTGTTTTCTCTCTTTACAGTTTTAAGTTCGGCAAGAAGATCAACTACGTGAGTTACCTGAGCGAGCTGGAGGACGTGGTGAAGTGCGAGCAGCTGCTCATCCCGGCTCGCGTCAAAGAGTAAGAGACGATTACACACTCCTTCATCTCCAAACACTTCTCTTCTGATTCCTGATATAATCTGAACTTTTACTTCAAGCTGCTTTACTTTTACTTTAATGTTGATTAAGTAACTAAAAATGTATCCTGATTTCAGTTACGATAACAACTTGCGGTTGTCTCTGAAACCGAGCGCCCAGCCGCCCATGTCTCCTCCTCGCAGCCCGCCCCTCCCTAACCAGGTGTTTGGAGTGCCGCTCACATTGTAAGTCTTTGAGTGTCTGCCAATCTGCAGGTGAAAGATTACAGTTTACTGGAACATATGCTGGTTTTAGTTGAGGTGTTTATCCTGTGTGTGTGTGTGTGTGTGTGTGTGTGTGTGTGTGTGTGTTTCAGGCTCAGACAAAGGAGTCCTGATGACGACTGTGTTCCCATGGTGATGAGAGACACCATCAGTTTCCTTTCAGAACAAGGTAACTCTACTCTTTCCCCCGTTTTTTAAACACAAACATGACGCAGCGTCGGAGCTCTCACTTTGTACCAGCTCGCTCTTCATCGTGTCTTCTTCTCAGGTTTGGAGATCGAGGGGATCTTCAGACGCTCGGCTAACGTGACTCTGGTGAAGGACGTTCAGCTCAAATACAACTCAGGTACTGACGGATCAACGGGCCAGTTTTAGAACTGGAGTGGGGACAAGTTAGAGGTTTGTCCTGTTATCATTAAAAAACCTGCAACGGCACGTACGGCTCACATGTTTCCGGCTCTGCTGCAGACAACTAGCAGACTGTGACACTGATCCAAAGCAGTAATTCACTTCCTATAGGAGCAGATTGCATGTTTTAGTAAATACATTTTACTCTTTTGTAGTCTTTGAAAGAAGAATTAAATTAAACGAGTATCCGGGATTTTTTTTTAGGCGCATGAAGGGAGAATTTAAAAGTCTTTTTCTTCAGGTTCGTTTGCTCCTCTCGTGTCTTTCAGGCGTGTCGGTGGATTTCCGAGAGATTGAAGACGTCCACTTGGCGGCTGTGATCCTGAAGACGTTCCTCAGAGAACTTCCTGAACCTCTGCTCACCTACCAGCTCTACAACGACATCATCAACTTTGCCTGTACGTCAAACAAACCTCTCATCTCTTTTATTCTCTAAGAAATGATGCTCACAGCCAACGTCTGCCCCCTAGTGGCTGTTTACTGTACAACCGCCTTCCTGAGTGTTCTGATTGGTTCGTCTGTGATTTCTGTGTTTGTTGAGTTCAGCTGTGTCAGAGGACAGTCAGGTGATGGTCATGAAGACGCTGCTGGAGTCGCTGCCGGAGGAAAACTTTGCATCACTGCGATACCTCGTCATGTTCCTGGCACAGGTACAGACACACACACACACACACAAACACACACACACACACACACACACACACACACACACCTTTACGTCAGTGTGTGTGTGTGTGTGTGTGTGTAACAAACACTCACCTTGTTTCTGTGTGTTTAGGTATCGGCCAACAGTGAGGTGAACAAAATGACCAACAGTAACCTGGCCGTGGTGTTTGGTCCCAACCTGCTGTGGGGGCGGGACAACGCCATGTCACTCAGCGCCATCGGTCCAATCAACAACTTCACCAGAGCCCTTCTGGACCAACAGCATCTGGTCTTTACCTAAGCTCCGCCCACTTCACCCTGCGGTCTCTCTGTACAAGTCAGACACACAACAACCTACATGCCCCCCCCCCCCCCCTCTGCTCTTTCAGTCTTTAGCATCCGACCAATCAGGTGCTTCTTCACTGACTGATAGATGTGTCTGCTGACCATTAAAAACCAACACGAACTGCAGCTTCAAACTCGTCCATGGCTCCACATACGCTTTAAAAAAAAAAACGACCTGCATGTGTTCGTACCCGTGTCAAAGTTCAGATCTCTGCAGAGAGGTTGAAACCGCTCGTGGTCCTCAGGCTTTTCTCCGTTTGTCTGTGACGTGCTGTTGTCCGTCTGTCTCTCTGCTGTTTCCTGTTTTAGTGCCAAAAAAAATACAAAAAAGAGCCTCCAGCTTTGACAGAAAGACACAAAGAGCGAGACAGAGCAGGGTGACGATGCAGAATAAAAACTACAGGAACCAAACTGAAGAGAGGAGGTGGAGGTGTGAGTCTCAGGTGAACTTACAGACGCTGAACTTGGTACCAAATCATGACAATCTTTAAAAAAAATGCTGTAATTAAAGTAAGGAGAAGTAAAAACACAGCTGTGTAACTCTGCAGCCGGAGCACAGCGCTGCTGGAGCTGCTTTAAGGGAAAACACTGTCAGACATCCTCTTCATGCCTCCTTCTTTAGTTTATATATATGACTTTACTTTTATATTAGTAACTATATATCTGTTGTTTTCTCACCGTTGCTTTATTTTTTTATTTTTTTTAAAGGTACGGGATCAACAGCTTACACATCTCCATGCGTTGAAGTTAATGATGCACACACGCAGACGCTCAGATCTGTGATTAAAGGTCCAATCAGTCAGATGTGTAGTGATTTAAATCATCAAATGACCTGACTATCTGATCATTAAGGAAACATGCTATGTTGAAGTGCTGGCTTCTCTGACAACAATGCAGCAGCCAGTATGTCCTCCTTCTAACTTTAGATTCTGCTCCTGAATGATCTGGAACGAGCCACTTTCCCCAGAATCTCCTCCTCTCTGCCGCCCGTTTGTCTTCATATATCCACGACATGAATCAGCGACAGCCGAGAAGCTGTTCTTCTCTTTGTGCTCGGGGACATCGAGGACAGTTTGGAGGTGTTTAAGCTGATTGATTTTATAATCGTTGTAAATACTTTGTGTTGTCACCAGAATCAGCCTGAGGCTTTGATAAAACATTCAGACACTAAGTCGATCCTCTTCTTGAATATTCTCTTCGATATGTAGCAGCTCCTCTGAATTTCCGACTTCTGCGATCAAATGGAACGCACCATATTTAAATCAGATATCAAAATGAACGTACTGTCACTTTAACCCGCCTGTTCGAGCTCCCTGTTTCACTCAACGTTGAAATCAAGCCGCCGTTTGCACCAACGACGTTCCACTGCTTCTGCATGTGAACAAAGATGGAGACCACGCTGAGGCTTTTTTAACTTTTCTATAAGCCTGCGTGCAAATGTAGCTCAATGCAAAGATGACTAACGATTAGATGAGTTGATTAACGAGAGTAAGAACGACTTTTAGACACGTTTGTGCTCTTAAAAAGATCTTCTGTTGATCTCGAGGACAGCCTGTTAGCACTACATTTTCCCAACATGTCTGACTTTATATTTCATTTTTCTTGCATGCATCGACCTCTTTTCCCTCCAAGGCCAAATCGTATTTCTGCACGTTTTCCTTTTTTGTACTCAGCGGTGCAGATTCACGCTTTATTTCATGTTCTGATTCCCGTCCCAGCGCCTTAATTTCAACGACTTCTTGTTACTGTATCTGAATTGATCTGATCATTTTGGATATTACTTTACTTTATTAGCTTCATAGCTCGGTGTAGTTGAAACGTTACATGAGTCTGCGAGGAGGTCAGGAACTTCTCTGTCTTTTTTTTCTCGTTTCCGGCCTTTAAAACTTTAAATGCTGTAGATTTTTATTTTTATTTTGTAAACGGCCAAAACATTCTCAGTGGTTGAACATTAGTGTGGTAACAGTACGATGTGACTGAAGACGCAGAAAGATCCGAGTTTAAGTTCAGACTGAAGCTGAAAGCAAAAAAAAAAAAAAAAAATAGTTAAAAAAAATCTGATGTTTACCTGTTGTAACTCGTCGTCATGCCAACGCCATGTCATTGGCATGCTTTAGTGTAAATATGAGTGTGTGTAGGTGTGTGTGTTTGTGGGTAAGTGTTGACTCAGCTGGACCCGGCACGTTTAGAGTCTGAACGCTGCCCGGGCTTAAATATATATACTTAAAAAAAATAGGGCTCCTGTCAGCTGAGATGTGTGTGTGTGTGTGTGTGTGTGTGTGTGTGTGTGTGTTTATAGTATCGTTGTCCGATAAGCCGATAGTTATTATTCGATATCATGAGATAAAAAATTATCTTTTTAGGTTGCCAAAGTTGCACAACCGCTTTCTCTAAAACAAACAGAACCTCATAGAAAAAAAGTACAAAAATCTGATGAAACCACGACTTCTTATCTTCGACGTTTGATTTGACGACCGCAGTTTATCGGTGTGTGTGAGAGAGCGCCTGTGTGTGTGTGTGTGTGTGTGAGTGTGCATGCTCGTGCCTTATTCGTTTCCCCTCAAGTGATCGTTTGATTAGCCATCAAAGTGCCGGTGTGCCCGTTCTGCCATAGATTAAAAACGACTTGAGGTGGGTTCAACAGAGCCGTGGTGTTCTGGTGGTAAAGGTTCATTCTGATGTTTGTTTGTTTTTTCAATCTGGGGATTTTTTACGGCTCAATAATGACAAACAGGAAGCAGAATTCTGGCAGTTTGATTCAGCCAGTTGATCAAAGTGTGTAAACTAGAAGTCGTTGTTTTTTGTCCTTGACAGGCTCCAGTTGTTCGTCTCAGTGTGTGACATCGTTCACAGATCAGGGACAAAAACAACGACTTTGCTGCAGGATGAACGAATCCACTGGAGGCATTAAACCGTTTGAACCTTTATTTAAAACACGAGCCAATCAAACAAACAGAATGACCTTTAACCAATCGAGCACCGTCCACACTCGGCTTGTTGAATGCAGCTCGTCTGTAATCAAGGATCGCAAGTTTGAGGAATAAAAACTGTGAAGAGGATTAAAGCGTCGTTAAAATATGATTTCTTGTGTTTTATCACTACATTCAGAGATTAACCCCGGACGTTAAATTCAAAATCAATTCAAATCACTCAATCTGAAATATTTACGCTCTTTTTTTAATTTTATTTTAAAGTTCAGCATCCAGTCGACCAAAAGAATCACAAATGCTTTTAAAAAGACAAACTTTCTTCCTGCTTCATAATCGTTCTGATGACCCGTGACATCGTTTCTCCCGACCTCTGCTGATCGATTACAGCCTCTCTAATCTATGGATCTCTGTACTGTAACTGTTGTCATGGTGACAGTGAACAATATTTCTCTTTGAGAGATGATGTATTGATACTGAGTGATCTTATTTTCTTAACTCTGTTTTCATCCTTTACTTTTTGATATGTCGTGGATCTTAGACTTCTATGTGTATCATATAATGAGTAATATAAATATACTGTAATATTATTGTGTGCAAACAATAAACTCATGGTGAACAAAACACAGCGGCTTTGATGGTTTTTTTAAAATCAAATATTAATTCACTGATTCAAGACTTTCATCCCAAACCTGGACCTGAGAAGTTTTCTCTGCTGAAGGATCAGGTCTTAGCTCAGCCGTGCTCCTGCTGCGCCTCTTGGGCCCACCCAGGTGCATGCTGGTCCTCTACCTGCCTCTCACCTGTATAACCTCATGTGCCCACAGTGTGACCCAAATACCCAACAAAAATACTAATCATGCAAAACTCTCTGAATGTTTTTGTTCTCCTTTTATTTTGAAATCCACAACAGGAAGTGATGAAACAGAGTTCAATAACAAAAATTCCTGACTCAGGATGTCCACACGATCCAGGAACACAACACTCCATGAAAGGAAAGTACAAAGTGATGCAACGCGGTGAAGCACGTCCCGACACAAAACAAAGAGAGGGGTTGTTTGTTCTGCATGAGGTCACTGACGGGGGTATAAAGGGAGTCTGTGAGGACTCTGGTGTTGAAGAGACTCTCTGATCCTACAGGAACAGGTAACCACCTCATTCTTTAGCAGAATATGTGAGCTTTAAAATATGTCAGCATTCACTTACTAAGGAATGATTTTCACCTGTTGGTTTGTGTCTTTAAAGGTCGTCGACCCTCCAGGATTAAGTCCAGAATGAAAAGCGTCCAGCTCGCCGTCATCCTCCTGATCGGCTGCATCAGCTGTGGTCAGTCTGCCTCACACACTCACTTGTTTGCTGAGGTTTAATTGGATCCTCACACGCTGTTTGATACTTTCTGTGATTCATGAAGAGGAGAATACGGGAGCTTGAAGAGAGAGGAAACTTAAAGTGCTAAAAATATCAGTTTTTTATTTTCCAGCCGAGGCTCTGAGGTGCAACCACTGTGTCCCGCACAGTGTCGGAGGAAGCTGCACCACCTCAGTGAAAGAGTGCGACGAAGGTGACTACGTCTGCGTCTTTGTTGTCTTTCCGCAACCCAGTAAGTGACCCTGAACGGGACATCCTCCATGTTTTAAAACCTTTAATAGGAACACAAAGTTTTTGCAGATTTGGAAGTAACACCAGTTTCTAGTCGAATGACGATCATAACGATCCGAGCCTCAAAGTGTTCACTGTTTTTTCCTTCTTGTGTTCTCTGCAGTGTACTCGTTTTTCAGGAGGTGTTCAAAGAGAAGCGACGCCTTGATAATGCAGACCAGCCCCCACCTCAACGTCGTCATTTGTGAAACCGACAGATGCAACTGAGAGACGACGATCGAGCACTTTGTAATTTGCAAAAATAAAGCCATCAGTGAAAGTCAGTTTCTTTGTCGAGTCTTTTATTTCCTATAAAAATCTGAAAACTCCCCAACATTTTTAGACTGAACTAAAGAGAGGAGAAGAACATCCTGGAGAACAGGAAACATGCAGCAGCAGGTTGATTAGAGCACGGAGATGGTAGAGGTGGCGTGCAGACAGTCTATGGGAATAAAGGTCACCACCACTGGCTCCTCCCACTGGCTCCTCCCACTGGCTCCAGGTGAATTCTCCTGATTATATCCTGCTGCGTTCTCACATCAGCTCACTCTGACTTTCTGCAGAATAAACACGAGAGGCTGGAGGAGAAACATTCAGATGTTTGTGTTCACACATGACGCTCACCCGGGAAATATCTGGAGTTTTTCAGGAGTTTTCGGCAAGTATGAAAGCCCGATATTATTCATCTGAGCTTATAACAAGAGCTCTTTATTACCATGATTATTATAGAACATGCATCTGGGACCAGCAGTTGAAATCAGGAGGCCGGTCTGCAGTCAGGTGGGCCGTCAGTCAGACGTGATTCAGTCTGTACTTCCCTCTTTTGCGACACAGCGGGAATGTCGGTTATGCCGCAGTTTTCACAACTGTCTGTGATAAAAGGGAAGAGCGGAGTTTACAGCCGGCACTCTTCAAACATCTGAGCTCAAGGTAAGAAGAATGTATTCTACAGGTCGATGAAACATTCATGTGTTTCAGCTGCTTTCTCCTCTTGATTGTCTAAAGCTGAACACTTCATCTTTTTGTTTCTGTGCTGTTCTCTGTCAAATCTGTTTCATGCTTCGACATAGACGGACAGAATCTATTGCTTTCTTGCATCACAGTGGTTCTCTCCTAACAGAGGACATCTTTGATTCCTGTTTCTGTCACACGTTGTTTAACAATCCTCTGTGGACAGCATGAACTGTATGCACAGATGTGATAAGTGTTTCATCTTTCATCGCAGAACAAAAATATATATTTTTTGAATTCCAGAGTTTGAAAAATGAAATCTGCGCGTGCGTCGTTCTTCTCCTGCTCAGTCTGTATCAAGGTACGTTTGTTTTTCATAACACTACAGCAAACATCAAATGTCTTGAATAAACGCTAACCTCCAGTGTTAAAAAATGAAGCCGATGCTGACAAGTGTGAAATCCTGCAGTTCCTGGAGTGTCCACTAGAGGCTGGCTGCAGAAGCACAGGAAGTCACATACACACCCATTCTAAAAAGCCTGTTTTTACAGCAGAGATGAACATGTTTACAGCCTGGTTCAAAAAACCAAATAGGTGTGATTAGCTCATGTCTGGATGGACACACACTGTACGGGGGGTGAATGTTTTGATGACTCATCAGTTTTGATTTGATGAAGGATAAGAGTTATTCACAATAAGGCGTGTAGCTGACCTGATTGACAGGTGGGCGTGGTGTAACGGTTTGTCAGCCTCAGCTCCAGCTCTCAGCCTGTCGTTAGGTTGACTGAGGTTTCTTACTTTTGGGGAAGTTCTGTTTTTATCTTTGCGTAACGTGTGTTGTTTGCAGCTGACGCTCTGAAGTGTAACTACTGTTTCGGGGACGACAGCAGTCTCTGCAGCACGACCAGCATCCAGACCTGCCCCTGGACAATGGACGCCTGCGCTGACGTCATTTGCAGGCGCCCTTCAGTAAGTCCTGCAAACACGTCACACATTTGTCTGAAGTCATCTTTTTATTGCACGCTTCATGAAGGACGTCCTGTCATGCAAACTAAACCTGCAGCTCTTGAAAACCAACTGCAGACTTCCTCCTGACTCCTAAATAAACGTCTGCATTTGGCTGCATGGTCAGGGTGAACGCCGGCTTCTGATTGGCTGCAGAGTGATTAATCAGTGAAAATGCTGACTTCTCTTTGTTTAGAGTCTTTTGTTCCATCTTTCCAGGTCGTTCATTCCGCTCCTGCATGAACATGGCGGCGTGTCAGGGCTACATCAAAACACCCGGCGTCTTCGCCTCCTGCTGCAGCACGGACCTCTGCAACTAACCCCCCCCCCCCCCCCACAACCACCCCCCCCTGGAGTGGTACCAGGCTGCAGAGAGTACCTCTCTGCAGCCAGGACCCCCTGATCTCTGCTGTGCAAACATCTCACTGTGTTACACTGCTGCTGCAAATCAAAATCTGTTTGAGGACTTGAAATGAGGAGATATTAGTATGCAGCTTTAATCATTTGTTTAAGGTCAGATTTAAATCAGAGAGGAGCAGTACTGTGTACAGACACTAGAGGGCAGTAGAGCGCTGTGCAGCAACATGAGCAGCACTCAGTGTGTGTTTTTAAAAAGACTAATAAAGAAATGGAGTCACATTTTGACACCAGAGTCTTTTTTTTTCTCCACATGATGAAGTGTTGAATCTAATCGTTTATTAACGCTGAGTCGTCTCACCTGAGATTTCATTATAAATCATCTATCGAGCAGAACTGATGAACATGTGATGCTTTTTTTCAAACACGGGGAGCAGAAATAGAGATGTGTCCCCAGTTTGCACGCTTTATGAGCTGATGGCTCTGATGTCATTTGTGAGCATGATTTAGGATTCCAAGGCGTGCGGTCATTAATAGACACATTCTGCACGCTGCACATTCTTGGAGCGGAAGTAGAGAACGCCAGAGGAAGAGGAAGACAAAGACACTCATGGTTGTGAAAAGTTCAGTGACTATTGCCTCATTGCTGTCAATCATGACCTTTCTTTATATCATCGAATAATTAATTATACTTCTCAGAATAATTAACTCTTGGACATAAATCAACATGACAGAAACCGAAATACATCTGGCATGCATTTTTGATTTCATAGTTGGTCCCATCTGTTAACATGGAGGAGGCGGAGCTTGTGACCTATACTGCAGCCAGTCAGTTAGGGGGAGCTCCAAATTTTTGGCTTCACTCTCAGGGAGCTGTCATTGCGTCCATCTTTTTAAAACAAGCTGTGGAGCTCTTTCACTTTTCCAGAGTCTTAAAAAAGATAACCCCGAGGTTGTTCAGCATTAAATAACCTCATCAGATGGAAGTGTGTTACTGGTGAGATATCCTCCTCCTCCTCCTCCTCCTCCTCCTCCTCCTCGCACACTCAGTAAAACCCCGGGCTGACGTGCAACCTCCTCCTTTACGAGGTGCATCCCATGACGCGGGGTTTCCTTCAGTAACAAGTGCCGGGAGCAAAGTGGAAATACCATCCAGCTGCCCGCGTGGAGCCTGAAGGACCCCGCAATGAAAAAAAAAAAAAACTGGGATTCCACCAGGACACACGCAGAGAGGAAGACACGCTTACACACACGCACATGAGCTGAGGCAATGAAAACAAACACGTGATGAGAAATCTGTAGAAGAGTCAGAATCCTGCGTGCAGATATTTAATCTACGAGTCATTTTCAGGAACATTTACATCAACATGACGTCTTTTTTTTTATGATGTTCTCCATCATTTCTGACAGCTGCGATAACATTGTGCTCACTTACTCAACTTAATGACCGAGATCTGGGTGATGGAGACAACAAACAGGAAGTGTGACGCTCACACAGGTTGTAAAAAGAAGCTGTTTGCTTTAATCAAAAGTGTATTTCAAAGTGAAGCGTGACAGAAATAACAAAGATAATCTCATCAAAGTTACCCGTTCTGATCGCTTCACCGCCACCTTGACATGTGTCTGCTTGTTTCAGGTAATTGTTAAATTCATGAACACAATTTGAGGGGTTA